AAATCTTACCACATACCGTATTTACTGTTCTCTCTCCCCTCCATTCCCTACTTTCCTCTCCCCCTCCTTTTTCCCCTTTCTTGCTTATTTATTTTTTTTGAAACACGGTTTCTCTGTGTAGCCCTGCTCACCTGGAACTCACTATGTAGACCAGGCTGGTCTCAAACTCACAGAGCTCTACCACCACTCTCAGCCTCTTTCTTTTTGAGGCAAAGTCTCATGGATTCCAGATTGACTTTGAACCGGCTACATAGCATGAATCTGGCCTTCTGCTTCCCCTCCCAAATTCTGGGATGACAAGCCATAGCAATGCTTTTATATTCCTCCAGCTCTCTTAACCCTTAGCAACTATAATTTATTCTGCATATGAATTTGCCTATTTTGGATATTCCATATAAGTGGAGTCATTTAATATGCAATACCAAATATTGTGTGTCTTGTATATAAGTTCTTTTCATTTTGCACAATATTTTTAAGATTTATCTTTTTTTGTATTATGTATTTAGTACGTTATTCTTTATGGTTAGATACTATTATGTGGATGACCTGCTTTTACTTACCCATTTATCAATTGATGGATATTTGTTATTTCTACTATTTTGTCTGCTATGAATAATGCTACTATGGACGTATGTCCACATTTTAATGAGAACATATATGGTCAGTTCTCTTGGGAAATACTCATTTTTCCCTACCCCCAGCTGGTGATGACTGATCATTTATTGTCACTAGTTGACAGAATGTCATAGATTTGGAATCATGTTGTATCAGACCAGAGTATTTCACTGAGCAATATTTAAGCCTTCATGACTTGGTAGCTGATTTTGTCACTGTTCCATTGTGTAGATAGTCCCTGGCTGTTTACTTACTGATTGAAGGACATTTTTTTGAGTTAAGGTCTCATTATATAGCCAACTACATGACTTTCTCGTCACTGCCTGTCTATACAGACCTCTAGGTCTCTATGGTTGGTACTGGGATTAAAGGCGTGTGTCACCAAGCTGACTAGGTCCTTGAACACACAGACTCTTGACTGCCATGTGATCGGATTAAGGGCATGTGTTACCACTGCCAGACTTCTGCTAAATGACTTGCTATTAGCTCTGATTCCCAGGCAACTTTATTTATTAACTTTATTTATTTATTTATTAAATAAAATCACATTTCAGCACAAATAAAATATCACCATATCTAAGTGGTATTATACTGTGTTTAGAGAATGACAGCGAAACAGTTTGTATATATTCTGTAAAGATACAATTTTCCCCAAGTATTTTCAGTTCTTGTTTGATTGAGTCAATATGAAGACTCACTCATGTGGAGGGCTGACTGTATGTATATGTATGTTACATAACACTGCACTACATATATATATGCATACATTCTGAAATTTGAGTTATCAGTCATGTTAACTACCTGTTTAACCAAAATGCTGTATTAAGATTGATTGCAAATGCTTCCTATAATTGGATAGAACAATATTTAGCTTCTTCAGCTTCTTTTCCCCTAGCTTTTGGACTTTTGTATTTTACTGATATAAAATTGTGTATTAAAATGACAAAACAGGGTTGAATAAGAAATAGAATTACTAATACTTACTGTTTAAGCGCTTTTTTAAAAAATAATTATTTATTTTATTTATTTTTTTTTTTTTTTTTTTTTTTTTTTTTTTTTTTTTTTGGTTTTTCGAGACAGGGTTTCTCTGTGTAGCTTTGCGCCTTTCCTGGATCTCGCGCTGTAGCCCAGGCTGGCCTCGAACTCACAGAGATCCGCCTGCCTCTGCCTCCCGAGTGCTGGGATTAAAGGCGTGCGCCACCACCGCCCGGCTTTATTTATTTTTTATTTATCTTATTCTTTATTATCATTAAAACAGAACAACTTTAGAGACATATCCATTTAATACCTGAGCAGACCAATAGTGGAGTAATACCAGGATCTTAACAGCCAGTTATTATGGGCTTGCCTCTCATCCTTTTTTTTTTTTTCCATTTTTCTTTATTAAGAAATTTTCTACTCCACATGCTATCCACAGACTCCCCCTCCTCCCTCCTCCCACCCCCCAGCCCTCTTTCCCAAGCCACCCCACATCCCTCAAATCGAGGTCTCCCATGGGGAGTCAGCAAAGCCCAGCACACTGAGCCTAGGCAGGTCCAAGCCCCTTCCCACTGCACCAAGGCTGTGCAAGGTGTCACACCACAGGCATGGGATTCCAGAAGCCTACCCATAGACCAGGGACAGATCCTGATCCTCCTGCCTGGGTGCCCCCCAAACAGTTCGAGCCAAACAACCATCTTCCATATCCAGAGGGCCTAGTCCCGTCCCATGGGGGCTCCACAGCCACCAGTCCACAGTTCATGGGCTTCCACTAGTGTGGCTGGTCATCTCTGCACATCCTCCATCATGATCTCGATGTCCCCTGCCTGCAGAATCCCTCCTCTCTCATCAATTGGATTCCTGGAGCTCAGCCTGGTGCCTGGCCGTGGATCTCTGCATCTGCCTACATCAGTCACTGGACAAAGGCTCTATGATGACAGTTAGGTTATTTGCTAGGCTGGTCACCAGAGTAAACTGGTCCAGGCACCCTCTGGACCACTGCCAGCAGATCAAGGTGGGGTCAACCTTGTGGATTCCTGAGGGCCTCCCCAGCACCCTGCCTCTTCCTATTCCCATGATGTCCTCATCTATCATGGTATCTCCCTCCCTGCCCTCCCACTCTGTCCCTGTTCCAGCTTGACCCTCCCATTTCCCTATGTTCTCATTCCCCACTCCTCGCCCTCTGCCACCTCCCCATACCCAGTCCACTCATGTAGATCTCATCCACTTTCCCTTCACAGGATCATCCGTGTGCCCCTCCTAGGGTCTTTTCCTATTAGCTAGCCTCTCTGGAGTTGTAGGTTGCAGTCTGGCCATCCCTTCCCTCCCATTTAGTATCCACTTATGAGTGAGTAATGACCAGTTATTGTTAACTCCTATTATTTTTTTGGTGGTAGTGTTGTATGTTTCCCTTCTTTGGTATTAGTTGGTATGAGACTATCTATTGCCTGTGTTTTCATGGCTGTATCTAACTTCCTTAGGTTGGATTTTTCCTTCGAGTGCTTTCTGTAGGGCTGTATTTGTGGAGAGAGATTGTTTAAATCTGGTTTTATCATGGAATATTTTGTTTATTCCGTCTATGTTGGTTGAGAGTTTTGCTGGGTATAATAGTCTGGGTTGGCATCCATGGTCTCTTAGTATCTATCTGCATAACATCTGACCAGGACCTTCTGGCTTTTAGAGTCTCCATTGAGAAGTCAGGTGTTATTCTTATAGGTCTGCCTTTATATGTTACTTGGCCTTTTTCCTTTGCAGCTCTTAATATTTTTTCTTTATTCTGTATGTTTAGTGGTTTGATTATTATGTGGCGAGGGGACTTTTTTTTTGGATCCAGTGTATTTGGTGTTCGGTAACCTTCTTGTATTTTTATAGGCATTTCCTTCTTTAGGTTGGGCAAGTTTTCTTCTATGATTTTGTTGAATATATTTTCTGTGCCTTTGAGTTGGTATTCTTCTCCTTCTTCTATCTCTATTATTCTTAGGTTTGGTCTTTTCATGGTGTCCCAAATTTCCTGGACATTTTGGGTCATGACTTTGTTGGTTTTAGTGTTTTCTTTGACTGATGAATCTATTTCTTCTACCGTATCTTCAACACCAGAGACCCACTCTTCCATCTCTTGCATTCTGTTCGTTATACTATACTTGCATCTGTAGTTCCTGTTCGTTTACTCAGATTTTTCCACTTCCAGCATTACCTCAGTTTGTGTCTTCTTTATTGACTCCATTTCAGTTTTGAAATCTTGAACTGTTTCCCTCACATGTTTAATTGCTTTCTCTTTGCTTTCAAGGGATTTACTGATTTCTTCCCATTTTTTCTTTGATTTTTCCTCAATTTCTTTAAGGGAATTTTTCATTTCCTCTTTTAAGATCTCTAACATCTTCTTAAAGTCATTTTTATGGTAGATATCTTCTGTTTCTTCTGTGTTGGGATGTTCAGGTCTTGCTGATGTAGGTTCTGATGAAGACATATTGGTTTTTATGTTGTTGACTGTATTTTTGCACTGGCGTTTACCCATCTCTTTCTCCACTTGGTGCAAGCTGTGTCTGTGTCTGAGGGAGCCTCTCTTGGTCTGATTGATACTCTTGATCCAGTGGGAGCTCTTGGTCTAGTCGATGCTGATGGACTTCTTGTCTCAGGGAGCAGCTCTTAGTCCAACTGGCGCTAGTGGGCTCTGTCTCAGGGAGTAGCTGCAGTCTTACCTTGTGGTAGATGGTGGTAGTCTGACCTGTCTGCAGGAGGTCTGCCTGCCAAGTGGCCTCTTAGTCCAGTTGGGTACTGGCAGGCTCTGTCTCAGGGAACAGTTGCAGTCTCAGAGGGTGGGTGGGATTTGGGGGAGGTGGGGCTTGGGTTACAGGGTCTGATGGGGGATGGGAGTAGTCTGACCTGTATGCAGGAGGTCTTCCTGCCAACTGGCCTGAAACTGGAACTGCAATGGGTGAGGGTGTAGGGGCGCAGGGTTGTGCCCCTGGGCCCAAAGCCTAGGGTCTTGGGTGTTCGGGTATGAGGATAAAGACTCACCTCTTAGTCCAGTCGTGTGCTGGCAGACAGTTGCAGTCTCAGAGCGTGCTTTTTTTTTTAAAATGTAGATTATAGTTTGTTATTCAGAGTGGTTAGTGTACTCTGCGGAACTGGATTAGTTACAGATGAAAGTTCTTTTTCTCCTCCTGAGTTAAACTAGAGAATTTGTTTATATGTATTTTGGGAGATAGCACAGTCATTATAATAACTACATTATTTCTAGGATTAATATAGCTAGTACAGTTTAAGTTTAGGGGCTGAAAGTGTAATTCCTATTAGTTTTTGGATATTTAATATGACTGATTTTACTCAGTAATAAATTGTAGATTCTATTGGTAGTATTTATTTAAATAATGAATAATCCCCCCTCCCTTTCTTTCTATTCATAGTGGTAGTCGCTCTTCGAAAACTTTTAAACCAAAGAAGAACATCCCAGAGGGTTCTCACCAGTATGAGCTCTTAAAACATGCAGAAGCCACACTTGGCAGTGGCAACCTGCGGATGGCCGTCATGCTTCCTGAGGGAGAGGATCTGAACGAGTGGGTTGCAGTTAACAGTAAGTGCCTTTCTGTTTCCCAGCAGACTCTGGATTGGGTCAGTGACCGTCTCATTGCAGGTGAATGTTAAGGTGTCTATTCTAGGATCTATGTAGCCTAATAGTCACAATACGGTGATGACAAATAGCCTAATATCACAATATAGTAATGTCATAATCCAACGTCAGTCTTCATGTTATTTTATCTGAGTATGAAATTTTACGAAATGTCAATAGAAGTTTACTGTCACTTTATTTTTTAATTATGTGATTAATTATAATGTGATTATATTTCTGGACGAAGACAGTTTTATTATTAGAAATAAAACAGTTTGTTTTTCCACTTTATGGATGAGGCCATCTTATCTATAAGATGATTTTTGTGACATCTCAAAGATAATCAGAATAAATTTCCAATGTGTGTGTACATTATTACAGGGTCTCACTGTGTAGCCCTGGCTGGCCTAGAACTCACTGTGTAGATTAGGCTGTTCTTCAATTTAGAGAGAGTCACCTGCCTCTCAGTTGCTGGGACTAAAGGTGTGTGCTCCTGCCCTGCCCTGCTCTGCCCCTCTTGTCCCTTCTTCTCCTGTCCCCTCTTCTCTCTTCTCCTTTCTTTTGATTCTTGTTTGTGTTTTTGTACTTCTGAGAGCTCATTTACTAATTTATTTAGTTATTTGAATTTTTCACATTTATTTATTTGTTTTTTGCATGTATGTGTTAATGTGTGTGGGTACACATGCCACAGGAAGTGTGATATGTGGAGAACAGGACAGTTTTTTCTCTCTACCATATGGGTCCTGGGGATTGAACTCAGGTTGTCAGGCTTGGTGGCAAGCACTCTTACCCACTGGGTCATTTTGCCAGCTTCATGTACTAATTAAGAAAGATTATGAATGGCTGTGTAGAACCCTGTGTTGTAGAAGACAAGATATTAAGTAGAGAAGCAGGTAATTACTATCTGTCTGTATTTTCTCTGTTTGAGTTGCTAGAACTGAGTGTCTGTGGTACTGGAAAAGCCATCAGTGTCCTCCTCCGGCCTGCGCATGCACACACAGTTTACACTGGGTTGTGTATTCTTGGCTGTTTCCATTGTGAAGTCGGTGTTTTCCGAGAGTGGCTTTGGAATGCCAACCCATTATCATTTAAATTTGTGGTTTCATTATTACCAACATTTTTCATAGGATTTTATGATTATCTAGAAACTTTTTTGTGAGGGGGCGTTTTAAATTGTTACATTTCCTGATGCGTTGTCTTTTCTTACTCTCATATAGTCTTTTGTGTATTTTACATATAAATTTTTTTTATGTGAGTTACCCATAATTTTTCACACTTTATCTTCCTGCTCTCTAATACAAGCTCCTAATTTTAGTATACTCACCAACTGGGGCTTTGGTGTGAGCTTTTCACCTGCTTTTGTAGGGAAAAAGAACCTGGGATTCTGCTTAAATAGAATGAAAGTTACTTTTTTACTGTTTTATTTTACTTATAACGGACATTTGCTTTGCAGCTGTGGATTTTTTCAATCAAATCAATATGCTTTATGGAACCATCACAGACTTCTGTACAGAGGAGAGTTGTCCGGTGATGTCAGCTGGACCAAAGTAAGATATGGTTAATGACTGGTTTTCTTTGTCACTGTATGAGAAGAAGTGTCTCGCCATGCACTTCCTGGGCTCTGGTAGTCCCTCAGTGGCTTCCCTGTGACCTGCCTTCTGCTGCTCCCTCTCCTTACCAGGTGTCTTTTCCTATCCACCTGAGCTAGCTTCCTGGAAACTCCTTGCCAGTTGCTCGGTTTCTTCTGAAAAGTTGTTTCTTCTATCCTTCTTGGACATTTTTCTTCTCTTCCATTTCTTTTTTTTAATCTTATGTTAATGTTTTAAAATGTCTCACCCTTGTTACAGGCCCATCCTAACATTTCTTTGCCTATGGAACTGCTTAGCGTTCTTCAGTGTAGATGTGCTCTTTCTGCTCAACTTTTTCATCTAAAAAACATTGTTTTTAGTGTGTGTGTGTGTGTGTGTGTGTGTGTGTGTAGATATATGTAGGTGTATGTAGGTGTGTGCATGTGAGTGCAACTGCCCTCAGTGGCCAGAGGCATCCAATTTCCTGGAAGCTGCCTCAGGTTGGAGCCTATCTCAGGGCCTCTGGAAGAACTTTGCATGTTCCAAAGAGCTGTGGTATCTCTCCAACCCTATGATAGGCTACTCATTCTTTATTTGTTCTTTTAAATCTTAAAGCTGTTATTACCTCCTCAACAATCAGTATTGGTTGGGCCAATGCCCTTTTGAAGTTGGCTTTTAGTATTACTACTCATAAATGCCACTGCTATTTACTTAGTGATATGTAAATATATCATATATTTTGCTTCATATTCCAACATTTACCAGAAAATTACTGATCCATGTATTAACATGAGCAAAAGAATTTAGTCAGCTGATAAAAGAACTTGCTGCAGAGGTGTGGGAGCTCAGGAGAGGTGTGTTGCTATTTTAGGAGGTAAACATACACTGACCATTCTCACTAGAAAAGCAGAGAGCTGTGTTTGCTCTGCACTGCTGTCTTGCCCACAGATGTGAGTTTTCCCAAATCTCAGTTCCCTGCTTCCTTTAGGTCTCATCTGTTAGAACTGTAGCCAGTGGTTTTCACACCTCGAGGAACTCTTTATTTTGGAGAACTGTCCTTTATGGAACGTCTGTTGTTGCTTTTTTGAGACAGTCTCTGTGTAGCCCCATCTGTCCTGGAACTCCCTGTGTAGATCAGGCTGGCCTCGGACTCAGAGATGTCTGTGTGCCTGCTTTCTGAGTCCTGAGATGAATGGTGTGTACCACCACACCTGACTCTCTGTAGATTTTTAACCAAAGATGCCTATCCTTATCAAATTTGATTTTAAATGAATTAGATATCCCTTTGGCTAAATATTATGGTTCAGATGACATTGTCTTAGTCTCATCAAATTTCTATCTTGTTATTTTAAGATTTCTTAAGGAAAAAAAGGCATTGGAGAAATTAAATTCCCTTTTATAACTTGATTCCTGTTGGTACTATTGGTGTTTAGTTCAGATGTTTTAAGTTTCATGTGAAAATAGGCGGTTTTAATTTTGCTGTTACATGGTTAGTTTGTATTGAGGAACAAAGTAACTCTGCCTTCTAAAAAGAAAAGCAGATTCCTCTGTAGCACATTGCCTGCCCACCTGCTCCTCTTACTCTCTTTTTCCTTAAGATAATCAATCACTCAATCAATCAGTAAATAAACAACAAACACAATTGTTTTGAGACTACATCTTACCTATGCAGCCCAGGTAGGCATTGGGATCTTTCTCAGTTGTGTTGGGATTATAGCTGTGCCCACCATGCCCAGCTCTTTTCCTTTTCCTTTCTTCCTTTTTGGAGAATTTTTTCCCCTAGAGACAGACTTTCTTTGGGTAGCTCTGGCTGTCCTGGGACTTGCTTTGTATTCCAGGCTGGCCTCGAACTCACAGAGACCCACATGCCTCTGCCTCCTAAGTGCTGGGATTAAAGGCGTGTGCTGCCACACCTGGCACTTTTTGGAGAATCTTTACTCTTGTCTTTTTTTTTTTCCTTTTAGATAGTTTTATTATGCAGCCCAGGCTGTCTTGGAACTCTCAGTGTAGACCAGGCTGGCCTTAAACTCAGATACCCACCTGCCTCTGCCTGCCAAGTGCTTAGATTAAAGGCATGTGCCCACTACGCCTGGCACTCTTGCCTGTTACTAATGCTAGGAGTTGTCCCAGTTCTTTATCTTTACCGACAAAGGAAGAATTGTACCATGGAGAGATGTTTGTTAATGTCAACTCTGGAGTTTCCCACTGGGGCATCTTGTCAGCACTCATTAGCAATTCTTAGTTTTGATCTGGAGTATATGTGATCAACCAGTTGGTATCATTAGCCTTTTACCAAGTGGTACTAAATGATGTTTCTGAGGACTTGGTTGACATTTGCTGTTTATTGTGATTGGAAAAGAAATAGTGGGTATGTTGGAGCTGTAATTTACAAGTAAATATTGTGATGACAGTATTTGCTCTTGTCTTTTTTTTTTTTTGGTCTGTTAAGAGTGAAAAAAAGAAAACCAGTTGAGAATAGAATAGAGCCACCAATGAAGTCATTTGGTTTGTTTGTTTTTTCAAGACAGGGTTTCTCTGTGTAGCCCAAGCTGTCCTAGAATTCACTCAGTAGACCAGGCTAGTCTAAAACTCTGCTTGCCTCTGCCTCCCGAGTACTGGGATCAAAAGTGTACGCCATCACCGCCAGGCCAATGAAGTCATTTGTGTTAGTGACTTTTATTGTTGTAGTGAAAAAAATACCTGACAGAAGCAACTTGAAGAAAAGCTCTGTTCTGGCTCACAGATTGGGGCGTTTCAGTCTGTTGTGGTGGGGAAGGCATGGTTGATGGGTTGGTATGGGGCAGTGAGAGCTTTCATTGAGGATCAAAAGGAGAGACAGCTCCAGCTGACACCTTGAAGGCCTGTCCCAGTGGTATACCAGCATCATTTGTAAAGGTTCCATAGTAAGCCAACACCCGAGCCTGTGGGACACATTTCAAACTCAAACCATAACAAAATCTTAATTATAAACATAACAAAAGAAAAGAATAGGGAGTCAATAGGTTTAAGTGCTAGAGGAATAAGCAACATATAGTTAGTTGTTTCATTTTTCAAAAAGTCTTAGGATCTTGAAAGTTGAGATTATTTGTAAAACTTCAGGACATTGAATATGAATCTTTGATTTACCATGTTTGCTTTTGATTTTGATATAGAAGTGAATGAACACCTGAAAATCAGTAACAAATGTAGGCAGACTTTTCTGTCCCGCCAGTCAGTTCCCAAATAACCACACAGAGACTTAATATTAGTTATAAATGCTCGCCTGATAGCTTAAACTTGTTTTTAACTAGCTCTTACAACTTAAATTAGCCCATTTCTATTAATTTATGTGCGGCCCTGAGGCTTGTTTACCTCATGTGTGTACTTCTGATCCTGTTTACTCTGATCCTGTTTACATTGTGACTCTTGAGATCCTCCCTTCTTCTTCCCAGAGTCCTCCTAGTCTCTCCCGCCCAATCTCTGCTGCCCAGTCAGCTCTTTATTAACCAATGAGAGTAATACATATTTACAGTGTACAAAGATTGTTCCACAGCAAACAAGTTAACAAACGTGATTGTGAAGAAAGGGTAAAGACTTTCAAGTTTCTTAATGTAGAGAGAAAATACAAATTTAAATAATATTTTAATAATTTAATATAAATTTTTATTTATATTTTGTTTATTTTTTTAAAGATTTATTTTTATTTTATGTTTATTGGTGTTTTGCCTGCATGTATGTCTGTGAGGGTGTTGGATGCCCTGGAACTGGAGTTACAAACAGTTGTCAGCTGCCATGCAGAGCTGACAGTTGAACCCGGGTCTTCTGGAAGAGCAGCCAGTTCTCTTAACTGCTGAACCATCTCTCCAGCCTACCTTCTTGTTTTTTAAAGATTCATTTATTTGTTTATTATTTTATGTGTATGAGTGTGTACCATGTGCATTCAGGAGTTTACAGGGGCTAAAAGAGGGTATCAGATCCCCTAGACTGGCATTAGCAATGTAACTGTGAAGTACATTTGTGTGCTGGAAATTGAACTCAGGTCTTCAGTAAGAGCAGTAAGCACACTTAACTTCAGTTATCTCTCCAGTCCTAAGTGTGGGAGTCTGTCAGAGTCCAGCTCTGACCTGCTCCAACCTTTTGAAGGGTTCTTGGTTGGAGGAGACAGGAATGAGGAAATATTAGGTAGAAAGATAGAAAGAGACAATAAGAAAAACAGAGACACAGTATAGCTTCGGGAGGGCCCTGGGTCAATACCCAGCCACCCAGAGCTTTATTCCAAAGGGCTTTTTTTTTTTTTAAAGATTTGTTTATTTATTATGTATACAGTGTTCTGCGTACATACATGCTCGCAGGCCAGAAGAGGGCACCAGATCTCATTACAGATGGTTGTGAGCCACCATGTGGTTGCTGGGAATTGAACTCAGGACCTCTGGAAGAACAGCCAGTGCTCTTAATCTCTGAGCCATCTCTCCAGCCCTCCAAAGGGCTTTTTATGATATGTCAAGGGGAGAGGCAAAAGACCTCCCCCTTGCAAGTTCAAAGCACACCATACAGTCAAGTGTAGACCCTTCCAAACACCAGATAAACATGCCCTGACTAAATCATCCCATTATGCAGCCCTGCTGGGTAAAGCAAGCTCAGATCCTCTGACCTTGAGTGATGTCTCACTAGGAACCCTCGGTGGGCCACCACACCTAAGTTCATGTTTCTTAAGTGAAATGTAATGATAGTTAAGTCCTACTTATAGTCTCTGTCTCTCAAGAGAGTCAAGAAGAAACAGGCTTAAAATTGCATTGAGTATTTAAATTTTATAATAGAGAAAATTCTGACTGTGAGAGTGATTAACCGTCACAGCAGGGTACCAGTAGGTGTCTGGGAGAATCTCCCTTTTGAGACTTCACAGTGGATTTGATGTCATTCTTCGTGCTCAGCAATGATAATAAAGGCTATTCTAAGAATGTTTATTAAGGTGTATCGCTGCTTACAACAATTTTGGATTATTATTAAGGTGTAGATTTGATAAATAGAAAGGATCCTCATTCATATTATTGAAGATAATTTTTATCAGTTTAAATACTATGTAGTATTTTTCTGTTATATTGCTATTTTGTTGGGCTTACTAGTCTATTCTTCAGTCAGATCAAACCCTGGGGAAAAGATTAGAAAACAGTTGATTTAAAAAGTGAAATATTAGCTGGGCAGTGGTGGTGCACGCCTTTAATCCCAGCATTCAGGAAGCAGAGGCAGGTGGATCTCTATGAGTTCAAGGCCAGACTGGTCTACAGAAAGTTCCAGGGCAGCCAGGACTACACAGAGAAACCCTGTCTTGTAAAACAACAACAAAAAAAACCAAAAACAAACAAACAAACAACCCCCACAAAAAAAAAACAAAAAAAAGTGAAGTAGTGCTGGGTGGTGATGGCGCTCACCTTTAATCATAGCACTTGTGCGGGAGAAGCAAGTGGATCTCTGAGTTAAGTCTAGCCTGGTGTACAGAATGAGTTCCAGGACATCCTGGGCTATACAGAGAAACAAAAAAAAAAAAAAAAAAAGAGTGGAAGAAATGTTGGAAACTAAAAAATCTAAATGCCAATTCAGTTTATACATTTTTATATTTTGGAGTTTCATCTTTGTACTTAGTCCTTTAGGGCTATGTTGATGCACATGTACACTGTAAAGTTTGTAAGAAGAGTTCCTATTATCTTAAAAGTCAGGGGTGTGTGTGTGTGTGTGTGTGTGTGTGTGTGTGTGAGAGAGAGAGAGAGAGAGAGAGAGAGAGAGAGAGAGAGAGAGAGAGAGAATTGTTTAAGAAAATAACTTGAGGGTTTGGCCTGAATATAGATTAAGTAACTGTGGTGATACTTTGTGCTTTAACAAATAAAGCTTGCCTGAAGATCAGAGGGAGGAACTAACCACTAGGTAACCATAGAGGCCAGGCAGTGGTGGCACACACCTTTAATCCCAGCACTTGGGATCTCACGCCATAATCCCAGCACTAGGGAAGTGGAGACAGGAAATGATATGGCAGGGCAGAGAGAGGACTATAAGTGGGGAGGAGGCAGGAGCTCAGCTCCCTTTTAGGCTGAGGATTTCATAGAGGTAAGAACTAGTGGCTGCTGCTCTGCTTCTCTGATCTTTCAGTTCTCACCCTGATATCTGGCTCTAGGTTTTTATCATTAAGACCAATTAAGATTGGTGCTACAACTAACTTGTTTTATAATTGCATTTATTGGTAGATCTTCCAAGGGTAAATTGTTCATTTTAGATAGGCAGTTCATACATATTTTTATTTATACATTTTGGGCATCTCTTCTACTGATCTGTTTTTCAGAGTAGGAGAAGTACATTTCATTGTAGTGTTCCTTGTTCTTGACCTTTTGTTTCTCACATGGTGGTTGCAAGTTAAATCAAAGGGTAATGTTAATACCCAAATGTGAACATTTTTGAGTTGCCATTTTCCTTTAAGGGTATATTAGTTCCTCGTCCTAATGTATAAAACTAGTGAACCATTCTTACTTGTATTAGTTTTACTTTGAATTTTCTGTCATTCTTTATACTTAACCCCAAATTTAAAGCCCCCAAGTAAAAATAATTATGCTTCATTTTTATGTAAGCAAGAAAAACAACTATAAAGTTTAGAGGTACAACAGAGAAGTAACAACTTCTACTTCAGCTAATTGTTCTACTCTGTGTTGGAGAGAGCTCTTTAATTCAGGAGCTGTTCATGGCAGCCTGTGATTAAACCCTAGCACTTGAGAGGCAGATTCAGGTGTAGTTAGAGTTTTACTGCCTGGCCCACAGTCAGGACAAATCTCTCTCACCTGCCAGTCCTACAGCCTCTCAGACCCGACCAAGTAAACACAGAGACTTATATTGCTTACAAACTGTATGGCCGTGGCAGGCTTCTTGCTAACTGTTCTTACAGCTTAAATTAATCCATTTCCATTAATCTATACCTTGCTACATGGCTCGTGGCTTACCGGCGTCTTCACATGCTGTTTCTCATCATGGCGGCTGGCAGTGTCTCTCTGACTCAGCCTTCCACTTCCCAGCTTTATTCTCCTCCTTGTCCCGCCTACACTTCCTGCCTAGCCAATGGCCAATCAGTGTTTTATTTATTGACTAATTAGCAACACATTTGCCATACAGAACATCCCACAGTCAGGTGTATCTCTGAGTTCCAAGCCTGTAAACTGAGGCTTTTCTCTGTCCCACCCTGTTCCGCAGCCACATCCAGATAATCACTCAGAGGTTTAAATTAATTATAAATGCTCAGCTGGTAGCTCAGGCTTATTACTAACTAGTTCTTACACCTAAATTAACCTATAATTCCTATCTATGTTTAGCCACATGGCTTGGTACCTTTTCTCAATATGACATTCTCATCTTGCTCCCTCTGTGTCTGGCTGGTGGCTCCTTGACTCCGCCCTCCTTCCCATCATTCTCAGTTTGGCTTTCCAGCCTAACTTCATGCCCAGCTACTGTTCAATCAGTGTTTTATTAAACCAACCTAAGTGACAAATCTTTACAGTGTACATGAGGTTTATTCCACAGCACAAGCCAGCCTGCTCTATAGAATGAGAGAGTTTTTTTTGAAGAAAGGAAGAAAGGAAAAGATAGAAAATCAGATGAGGCAAACATCTAAATAGAAGATGAGTTTGATCTGATCTCCTTAGGTTGGATTGTGATAAAAGCAAAACAGGCTACTGTCGGTTAAAAATGTGTACTTACTTGGAAGAACAGATTGTTTAAAACATGTTTGTGTATACCTTCATCGTACATATACTTGTACGTGCACATCTGTACCTCTCTTCTGATGTCCTGTGCACTTTCTGTCTTTCCATTGCAGATATGAATATCATTGGGCAGATGGAACAAACATAAAAAAGCCTATCAAGTGCTCTGCACCAAAGTATATTGATTACCTGATGACCTGGGTTCAGGACCAGCTAGATGATGAAACGTTATTCCCATCAAAAATTGGTAAATTACTTTATATAATTAGGATAAATCATGCTGTATTTAATTTTATGTTTCTATAATTGCTCTCTCTGTCTTCCTGTCCTACCCATTTGAGCAGTTCCTTGGGACTGTGTTGATGAGCGTGTTTATTATGCAGTTTCCAAGAAGAGGCACCAGAGCTTGCTAACCCAGTCATGACCTAAGCAAGCTGTCGCATATAAACTGATTTTTTTTCCACCCTTACACCTAGTGTTTTAAATACTAGTTAGTTGAAAGGCTAGACTTAATAGAAATAAGTGATCTACTTCTTGACTTGATTTTTATTTGCTAAAATTTTTGTGATGTTTCAGATTAAAATATTACTGACATTTCTAATGAAGTTACTTTTGAGTGTGTTTTAAGTTCTTTTTTGCTTCCAAGACAGGGTTTCTCTGTGTAGCTCTGACTGTCCTAGAACTTACTCTGTAGACCAGGCTGGCCTTGAACTCACAGAGAGCCACCTGCCTCTGCCTCCCGAGTGCTGGGATTAAAGAGTGGGCCCAACATGCAAGGCTCCTTTTTTTCTTTTTTTTTTTTTTTTTAAAGAATTATAAATATCTAGTAGGTTTTCTTTTCAGTAGCAAGTTCTAGATGGAAGCTTATTACTGATAGCGAGTTATCACATCAATCAAAATATTTCTAGTTTTATACATTTCAAGAGTGTTCTTTTATCCCTTTTCACACTAAATTTATTAAGGATATACATTACAGTTTTAAGTGGTGGACAGATGAATTTATGATATAGGGAGGTAATAAAATCTGTCCTATCATAGAAAAAAGATAATGGATAATAAGACAGCTAATAATACCTATCACACTCATGTTTATTTTCTTTTTCTCCAAAGTTTACATGGCTTGTATCTAATTTTATACTTATAATGAAGAATGTGGTTTTTACAACTCATAAAATTAATCTTAAAGATTTTATTTCGTTCTTTTGTTTTGAGATTAGGATCTCCCTTTGTAGTTCAGGCTGTCATCCAGCCCGTGGCCATTCTGTCTGAGCCTCCTGAGTGTGGTTACAGGCATGAGCCATCACAAATCACAGAGATTTTGAAATCAAGGTATGTGAGAAGAAAAAAACAGATTTGAGGATTTGGCCTGACATAGATTGAGTTACTTGTTTGGTGTATTTGCTTAAAGGTAGACCTATCAAGTCTAAATTGTTGCTGTTAGACAGTCAATATGGGTTTGTACCTTTTCAAGCTATTACAACTATGTTTTCAATGAACCCTTAGAGTGTTGTCAAACAACTTTTGGCTAACATTGTATGCTTTCATTAGAGCACTGTTCTCTGTTCTTAGGTCCTGTTTGTGTGTTTCAGGTTTTCCTAGTAATGTCCTCTATAGCTAAAGAAGATCATTGCTAATGCTTTTATGCAGTGCTGTGTCTAGAACTGTGGGCTTCAGGTTTTTTTTTTTTTGCTATTTTACAGTGTCCTTTGACTGTGATGTGCTTGTTTCCTTGTGATTTATAGTGGTGTGAAAATGACAATGAGCCGGGAATACCAATGTGTGCTTGGATTGCCAAGTTCAACGTTTAGAATTTAGGATTTTGTATTCTTTTCCTTCTTTTTAAAAATTTGCTTATTACTATTATGTGTATGCATGTGGGGGTCAGAGGTCAACCTTGTAGAGTCAGTTCTCTCTTTCACCTTTATGTACCTTCTGGGGATTGAATCACATTATCTGTCTGGCCCAACATGTACTTTTACTTGCTAAACCATCTCACTGGCCCAGATTTTTATTAAAATTGAAATATTTTATATATTTGTTATATAGCGTGATGCAAATATATATTTATAGTAAAATAGTGTTACAGTTAATCCATTTTATTCTGTTATGAAAGCAGCTATAATTACACAACTGATAAAACCTCAATATGGTATATTATTAGTTTTATTCTTATATTTTATATTACATCTTTAGACTTGATTATCCTGTGTGTTTGCTACAGATATTATGTGTATATATCTCTGACCTACATTCTCTCATAACCTATCCCTTTAACATGGTAACCATGGTTTCATTCTCCATATATATAATCTGTTCTACTCAAAATGTAAATAAGATTGAGAAATAGTCTTTTTGGCTCTGATTTGCTCTTTGGATAGTATCCTCCCAAATTCAAATCTCCTTATTTTATTTTTATTTTTAATTTTTTTGAGACAGGATCTTGTTATGTATCCCATGTTGGTCTTGAACTCAGTATCATCCTGCCTCAGCCTCCCAGGTGCTGAGATTACAGACATGTGTAATCTCTGATGCCTGGATCAGGATCTCCCTAAGGCTAAGTTGTGTGTGTGTGTGCACCTGATATAGTAAGATCATTAACTGAAGGGGTTAATACATTATTTATGTTAGCACATATTTGTGTGGAGCTTATGCTAGCAAATCTAATAATCTGGGTGTGAGTTCTAGTTGTGCTGCCTCTTAGGTGTTTGTGAAGTGGTAGTGTGTTAGACGTAAAATGTGCCATAAAGAAGACTCATTGTTTTTTTTTTTTTTGGTTTTTCGAGACAGGGTTTCTCTGTGTAGCTTTGCGCCTCTCCTGGAACTCACTCTGTAGCCCAGGCTGGCCTCGAACTCACAGAGATCTGCCTGGCTCTGCCTCCCGAGTGCTGGGATTAAAGGTGTGCGCCACCACCGCCCGGCAAGAAGACTCATTCTTATGTTTAAAAAGCTCTGCAGTTTACTTTCATTCATGATGTGCTAAGAACTTCTCAAAGATTTTACTGGCATGAAAATAGGGATTCATATACACTACATCTTTCAGCCCTGTTGCTACTTGATGGCAAATCATGCTGCTTTGTGCTCTTTTCTTACTAACAGAGGGGCTTATCTCTTTACTAGGTGTTCCATTCCCGAAGAATTTCATGTCCGTGGCAAAAACAATTCTCAAACGACTCTTTAGAGTTTATGCTCACATTTATCACCAACATTTTGACCCTGTGATCCAGCTTCAGGAGGAAGCACATCTCAATACATCTTTCAAGCACTTTATTTTTTTTGTTCAGGTAGGTTGACTTATAAGCTTTTGTTGCTTATTTTTAGAATTCTGTGATGAATACATGGTGCATATACACTGTCAGAACAGAACTTGTTATCTCTATCTAATCTACATCCTGTTTTATACTTTCCAAGATGATAATGATGGGCCTTTTGTTTCTTCATTTCTTTAGTCTACCAGTTTATGGTAGGCAACTCTTAAAAACGGTTCCAAGATGCCTTGCCTTGCTTGGACTGTGTCAATTTCCAGGCCATATGAAGGGGCTAAATAAGAACTCTGAATAGTGAGTCAGATATGATGGTACTCGCCTATAATCTTGGCACTCGAGAGGCTGATGCATAAGGATTGAGTTCAAGGCCAGCCAGCTATTTAACAAGTTTCAGGCTATCCTAGGCCATAAGATCCTGTCTCAACAAACAGATGGTTAGACAACAAAGCCAACCAAGTAGGAAAAAACGGAATCAGAACGTGAGCTCCACCTGTTGGGCACACCGGCAGTGAATTTGGTCTCAAGTGTTCTAGCACGCCTTCTCTTAAACCTCTACTTTAAAGGGAAAATTTCAGATCTCTGTCAGTGTACTCTTTTATGGATGTATACTTTGAATATCACATCATTCCCCCCCCCCCCCCCACTTTTGTGGTTTTTTGAGACAGCATTTGTCTGTGTAGCGCTGGTTGTCCTGGAACTCACTCTGTAGACCAAGCTAGCCTAGAACTCACAGAGATCCTCCTGCCTCTGCCTCCTGACAAAGCACCCAGCTCCCCTACTTCTTCTTTTTTTTTTTTTTTTTTTTTGGTTTTTCGAGACAGGGTTTCTCTGTGTAGCCTTTCCTGGAACTGACTTGGTAGTCCAGGCTGGCCTCGAACTCACAGAGATCCGCCTGGCTCTGCCTCCCGTGTGCTGGGATTAAAGGCGTGCGCCACCACCGCCCGGCTCCCCTACTTCTTTTTAAAACCATATTCTGAGTAATTTTGAAGCTAATGACTGTCTGTCATGTGTGAGAAAAGAAAGGGTCAGAGTGTGTTTTAGAGGTCCCTTATAGTTTGAACTGACTTGCTAGTTTGTTTCCCTTTTGTTTAATCCTAAGAGAGCTGGGCTTTGAAATGTAGACTAAGAAACCAGGCATGGTGGCTCCTACACACAAGCCCAGCTGGAGGCTGAGACATGAGAATCAGGAGTTGAAGGCCAACCTGGGCTACCTATCAGTACCTTGTCTCAAACAAATTAGGCAAGAAAAAACTATACATGAATATAGTTTTATTTAATTCTCTGATTAGAGAAATAATGGGGGAAAGTGAAAGAGTTGGAAATAGATGAGCCAACTAGTTAATTTGTTTCCTGTTTTTGTAGAGATTAGAAGAAGGAGATGTTGGTGGGAGAAAGCTAGTTTTATTTTGTGTTGATTTTGTATGTTAGCGTATGTCTATAAATATTTTTACTTTTCTCTCTACTAAAGAAACGTGTCCATTTTCATTAATGCATACTCCTTACACTAAAGGCACACTTCTTTTAAATTATCTGTAAAAATACATTTTAAGAGGTTGTAACTTTCTTGAGTTATTTGACAGTCTCATCTGCAGACCCCTAACAACAGAAACTACTTAAGATTTGCATTAATACTTTAGTTATCAGAAAATGATGGCCAAAGTTTAAGTTTTATTGGTTCAGGTGAAAATATTCTTCCTTTACAAGTGTTAGTTTTACTTTACTTTATAGCCATAAAGTATACTGTTTGCTATGTGCTAGCAAATAGTGGAGAATCAATTTAGAGCATTTTGCACATCTTACCCTCCTAGCAACACCTTTTGATTAAAAATATCACTTGCTTGGGCCTCTGAACTTGGAGATTCTTGCTCTGGTCCCATATAGTACAGATTCTACAGGGCCAACAACATAGTGTCTCATGTGTTTAGAATATAAGTGATCCCAGAATTCCCTACCCTCATGCTCTCAGGTGAATTGTTGATGTTTATTCTTTGAAGAATAGGTCACATCTCTACTAAGTATAACTTTAGACATGAGGAGTACCCAGATGATACTTGCTTATTAAGAGGTATGTGGACATCACTCATATTTGCCAGCCAACTTACCTTTACTCATTTGCCTGGGGCCCCTTTGGGCGCAGGTGGAGCTTAGGGTTGGAAAAGCAAAAGGTTAACTGAGGATTAGGTACTCAGAGCTGGATCTCATACTTTGTACTGTAGAATTATGAGGCATTTTACGAATTCTAAATTTGAGTCTGCTGTTCTGGTCACTCAGAAGGTTTGTCAAGATAGGAAGATTGGACATGCTTTATTTAACAATGTTTCTTTAATGTCAAAACAAAAATTTAGTCACATGGTATGTATTCCCATGTATGTCTTCTCACATGTTCTCCACAGATCTGAGGGGGTAGGCTTGTAATAGTAATGCTTCTCTAAAGTACTGATTGTAGTGCTGGCCATAAGATGGATGCTAATGAATAAATGAAATTGAGAGTTGAGAATAGTCCATTATACAGAAGGCTGGAAGTATATGTCACCTTTATTTATTCACTTTTAAAATCATAGTTCAGCAGAAATCATTTAAAAAGTCATTTTAAAAAGATACAGTACCGGGCTGGAGAGATAGCTCAGAGGTTAAGAGCACTGGCTGCTCTTCCAGACATTCTGAGTTCAATTCCCAGCAACCACATGGTGTCTCACAACCAGCTATAATGAGATCTGGTGCCCTTTTCTGGTGTGCAGGCAGAACACTGTAAATATAATAAATGAATCAATCATTAAAAAAAGATACAGTACCATGATTATTGGCACAGTATCCCAACTTCTTAATTTTTCCACGGTAAAAGCTTTTCCTTTGCAGTGATATCAGATCCTTATTTGATTGATATATTGCAGTGCCACCCATTGTACTGTTTTCATTTGGAAGCAACAGCTCCCACTTACTGATTGGTAGTGTGTTCCAGGAATTACATGAAGTAGTTAAAAGCAGTTACCATATTTAGTCTCCACAATAATTTTATGAGTTAGGGGGGATTTGTTTTTTTAATATTACAGATGTTACAGCATCAAGGAGGAGGTCAAGTGATTTCTTTAAGGTAGTAAACAGTTTTAAAAATGAAGTTTACTTTTACTTTAGAAGCTTGTATCCATAGTAATCTGCTTTGGAATTAGATGCAAATAATGTTTTTTTCTTTGTAGGAGTTCAACCTTATTGACAGAAGAGAACTTGCACCACTCCAAGAACTGATTGAAAAACTCACCTCAAAGGACAGATAAAAGGATGAAAGCCGTTAATTCTTCCTCCAGTGAAGCTGTGAGGGGTTTATTTGGGCTTTGTTCTATTTTGTTTTTATCTGGATTGTTTGTGTTTTAGGTTTGGGGGCTTGCTTGGGTTCCCTTTTCTCTTCTGAATATATAAAATTATATTTTGTTGCTAGAGGAAGCCAAGAACCATTCTCTACACTTGAAAGGGGCAAATTTTATCTTAGTGGTGTACAGTATTTTTTTTAATACTTTATTTTTATTAACCTGGTTTTGGTTACTTGAGGACTTTTTATGATATTGTACTCTGGACACAAATACTAACTGATTGAAATGCCGATGGGTTGGATTCTGTGTTGTGTAAATTGTGGCCCACTTTGAAGTCCCTAAAACAGACTTATGTGTTTTTAAGTGCCTTGATAGGCTCACTTCTGAAGTGCAAAGCACAGATATAGGACTGAGCAGAGCTTGAAACAATATTAGAATTTCTATCTAGGGCACTTACTTGTGCATGTTGTAAAGTAATCTGTTATAAAAGCCATAGTTTACTCAAGTTGATGATGTCCCACTTTTACTACATTGAAAAAACATAATTTGTAAAGGTGTGCATGTAGAACATAAATGTAAGACAACAATTATTTCTTAATTATTTTTGACATAATTTGTAAAGGTGTGCATGTAGAACATAAATGTGAAACAACAAAATTCTTAATTATTTTTGATATTGACTAATATATTCTGTTCAACAGATGTTTAAAGTTCTACAAGCAGGTCTTTTTCCATCTCTCAATATCTGTGATATTGACATTTGAGGATGTTGAAATGTAATAGCTATTGCATTTCAGCTTCTTTCTACATGTTAAGTGCACTGTAAGTGTAAAACTTCAGGTTATTTATGGAATTGCCATCTTGAGAAAGGATGCTGAACTGTGAGGTTTCCCAGCAGTTGCCAAATGAGCCATAAGTGCAGAATCCCCTTGTACATCAAAGAGGAAGGAAAAATGAGAATGGTTAGTGGCAGGCATTAGTTTATTTGGGAAATCAAAAGAGAAAGGATTAAGTATGGGGAGTCAGATTCTAGAAAGTCCCGTTTTAAAACCCTGGAATAGAATGGTGTTTATTACTTATAAACAGTCTTGAAGACTTCCTTTTAGAAGTCAGCTTCCATGAGAAGTTAAAAATAAATACTTAGTTTTAGGTACAAACATTCAACATGGAATATAATGACTATTTGGGGGGAAATTAATCACTTTTTAGCATTTCCATTCAGTGAATGGAGCTGATATTTGCCTGTCATTTTAAATGATACACTACCTTGATTATTGGTGCAGTTTGAAGCATCCTGACTTATTTTTCCACTGTGAAATCAAGTAATAAAAATACTAGCTCGGTAGTTAATAACTTTTAAATTTCAGTTGACATGACATTCTGTTGAATTGTCATCATCATTTACAAGATTGGGAATTTGGTTTTTAGAATTAATATTGAGGTTCCCCCCCCCCCCCCCCCCGATCAGTTTTGTTCTTGAGAAATACGCTTTTCAGACTCTGAGTTTTAATTTTGTCAGTTTGGATAAATTGTTTCCTTCAATTCTCATTCTCTCTCTGTCTCTGTGTGTATGTATGTGTGTGTAGTTAGAGACACATACCTTTCCTCTAGTAAAATAGAAATGTTTGCTGTGAATTTGTATGCATATACTTAGTGGAAAAGAGGCTAAAATGAAGTAAAATTGGTTTTGTCATTAACAAGTGAACGATGATAGAATTGAATGCCCTTGCAATTATGATCACTAGGAACTGCCTTTTTCTCCATTTCATTTCTGTGATGGCCATTGCTCACCAAGTACCAATAATAAAAGGAACAAAAGAGCTTGGAAAAGGTAGAAAATACTGGGCATTTATTAGTAGTGCTTATTTATGAACTGACAGCTAACTGATTTCCTTAAAATAATTTTTTTAGTATCTAAATAGGTAATATCAAGCATTATGAGTTGCTTTAGAATTCTGATGTTTGAGTCCTCTCTGTACAGGAAATGAAGCGCATAATTACTCACTGAAAGTCTTCCATAGTGTATTTGACTTCATATCACCCTAATAACTAGGGGCTTCCGTAGTGAGAGATAAGAGTGAGAGGTTGTTTCTGGTCCTTTAAGCCTTACATACAGTACGCTGTAAGAATGGCAAACTATTCCTAGAAACTAGTGGTTGGTAGTAGGACTTAGCTTCCCACTACCCTAGGTAGGAGTTACTTTCACTGTGCCAGAATCTCAGGTGCCACGGTTCCAAGTAGTCCCTCAATTTGGGGAAATAAGGAGGGGTAGGGGTGTGTGTGTGTGTGTGTGTGTGTGTGTGTGTGTGTGTGTGTGTGTGTGTGTGTAGAAAGAGTAGAAGTTCTTCTGGGGAAAGGCCTGGCATGTGTACATGGTGGTAGATGACTATAAGTAAGGAAACGCTAGAACAAAAGTGAAAGTCAGTTTAATAAAAACTTGCTCTGAAAGTAAAATGCCCTTTTATAAAATAAGGATGAAAGTTTATTTTTCAGGAGAGCTTGCTTATAAATGTCTGTTAGATTCTTTTTAGATCTGTTAATTTTTTTTTTTTTTTTTTTTTGGTTTTTTGAGACAGGGTTTCTCTGTGTAGCTTTGCGCCTTTCCTGGGACTCACTTGGTAGCCCAGGCTGGCCTCGAACTCACAGAGATCCGCCTGGCTCTGCCTCCCAAGTGCTGGGATTAAAGGCGTGCGCCACCCCCCAGCTAGATCTGTTAATTTATAAACAAATAATTATCTCTCCTTTCTTTCTTTCTTTTTTTTTTGAGACTGGGTCCCTCTATGTAGCCCTGGCTAGCCTGGAGACCAGGCTATATAGACCAGGTTGGTCTCAAACTCAGAGATCCCTTGCCTCTGCACCCTACATGCTTGGATTAAAGGTATGTACCACCACACCTGGCTACCCCATTTTTTATACAGTTAAAAAGTGCAAGTTATTTTTTTTTCATTCTTTCATAAGCTCATCCCATACAATTTGAATGTAGTAAATTACCATTATATTGTTATGCACAGTGCTTTGGTTAAATGGGGATATGATGAGAGAAGTTTTAGGAATGATTTAGTTGTCAGAGCAGTGGTGGTGAAGAGACACTGACGGGAATGTCTGTCCTTAGCAGTAGGTGGCGCTGCTGGCCTCGTTCACACTTTGACTTGGTTCTTCCAATTCCCACAAAAGCTGTGCCCTTTAGACTGCCCCACACAGTGCACATGTGTGTGTTGATGGGTGGCTTTGGAGCTCTGTGTACCTTGAAATGAAAGATTTAGGTTGTTGCCGCTTTTTAACTCTTAGTCATTGTAAATTGTAAATGGGTAGCAGAGTATATTTTTAGTGTTTATTTCTGACTGAGTTACTACCTGGATCATCAGGATGGATGAAGCACTACAGTCCCTTCCCAGAAGATAGAAATATGGATATTTATATTTTGCATATGTAATTACTAGATTCCATTTTATGTAATGAGCATTTTCCTTACGTATAGGAAAAGTAGCAAAACAGATTTCTTTTGTAGCTTTGTCTACACCCTCTCTGAGAGAGGTTTTGATAACCACTGAAATGGTAGATTATGTGAGCTACAAATACTAAGTTGTGGAACTTTCTTTTAAAATGAGTATGTTGTACGTTAATTAACATCCAACTGAGAGTTGACTTTCAAAGCAGTTCTCTTTGGAGCACTGTTTATTTCAGCTAGGTTGCAAAGTATGTTTCTAGAACTTGGTAATGTGTCATAGGTGCTTTGAGAATTGGCTTATGACTATGTAAGAAAAATCAGTTTCATCTTTTTAGTTGCACAAAAACAGTTTTCGAAGCTTAGTAGAACCCACATTAATTACCAAATCAAATTCACTAACTTGACTATTCTCTGAGTACCAAGCCAGTGTTTGGTAATCAAGAGTATATTTTAGGCTCTAAATCTTCAGAGAAGACGGCTACAGACATTGACTGCATCACAGAATAGAATAGTTTCCTGATGTCACTATTGGAAGTGGGAACCATCATTTACATGTGAAAACATTTTTTTTAAAAGAGATTCAGTTTAATTACTTTACATTTAAATAGCATTTTAAAACTAAGGTCTTTCTCTTGAACTTGCTTTCTGTTTTTTCCCCCTCCCTTTTCCTTAAAACATTTGAATTGTATAGGATAGTTTTTATTGAGAGAATAGTAGGGAAACGTGGATCCAGTATTTCATACAGCAATTTAAAGAAACAAAGCCTTTACCTCTGTTTTATTTTAAACAGGTTTTTCTTTCAATCTGACTTTAAAGACTGGAGATTGAAAATTGGAATAAATTTTATTAAATTATGCCAAGTTTTAGCCTTCCTATCATGAATAGCATTTAAAATCATGTAAGTATTCAGCACATATCATTCATAACATTAAATTCTAATTGTCCTTTGAATATATACTGGACCAAAAGTTTATTTGTAATTTGAAATGTGATTGCATACTAGGTAAACATCTTATTTTGAAACTTACTTGATATGTTAAAAGAATATACCACTTACAAACTCAGCTCAGTCTTTAAGTATTGCTTCTAATGGACTTTAAGCATTAGGACTTTGCCATAACAGAGATTTACCCTAGGGGCCACTGTTACCAGCATGATTATATGTGAGTGATAAATAGAGTAGAGGTCTGTTTCAAAATTTAATAGGGAAAGTTCAATATTAAATAACGAACATGCAGCAGGATTCTGAATGCAAATGATTGGAATTTTTAAGGTTTTCCTCAGAAGTTCATCTGTAAGAATTCATTTTGAAGGTCTAAGACTGCCATGCTCTGTCTACCACTTATAGTTGGACTTATTTATATTCTGACAAAAGAAAAAAATACAAACTAGCCGGGCGGTGGTGGCGCACGCCTTTAATCCCAGCACTCGGGAGGCAGAGCCAGGCGGATCTCTGTGAGTTCGAGGCCAGCCTGGGCTACCAAGTGAGTTCCAGGAGAGGCGCAAAGCTACACAGAGAAACCCTGTCTCGAAAAACCAAAAAAAAAAAAAAAAAATACAAACTAAAATATTTGGTCCTCAGTTTTGTAAGTGTGGTGCAGTTCCTGGTGCAGGTTTCCTCTCCTCCCCTCCTCTCACCTCTCCTCTCTTTTCTCCTCTCTTCTCCCCTCTTCTCTCCTTCCCCCTCCCCCCTCCCTCTTTCCTTTCCTTCTCTTTTGCATATATTGCTGCATAGTTCTCAAACATGCAGTAAGTGAAATCACTTGCCTTCACAGATTTGTGTTTTCCCACTCAGCATCTGTCGTGTACGCCCGCTCACATGCACTCACGGCTGATTTACAGTTCGTTAGTCATTCTGAAATGTTGTCCACACACAGGTTTTCTTTTTTGCTGGACAGTCTCTTTATGTCACCAAAGCTGCAGTGACAGTTTCCTAACTTCTCCCTCATAATTATTCTTAGAGGTGGATAGTTCTTGTCGTGTTGCACAAATTTGCATTTTTGTTTCTGAAATAGTTGTATAGGTTGTAAAATATATTAGTGCATTTTCATTTCAGAACACTTCTCCTTAAATTGTTTTGCAGAAATGACTATTTTTAGGGAAAATACTTTTTTACAGCTACTAAATTTTATTTGTTATTTTTGTATATGCATAACCAGGGTGGTGAAATCACTAATATTTTACGGAAGACCTTTGCTCTATTTGATTTTTTTCCTATATATTTAAGATATTACTTAAAATTATTAGTAGAAATAATGTCATGAAAACAGCCAATAATAAGGAACATTTAAAGTCAGAGTAGAAATCATTTCTGAAGACAAAAATCCGAAAAACTGCCAGTACCAAGTAATGGAAGCAGAAGGACAGCATTCAAGTTGTGCACTTGCTTAAGAGATGCACGGAGACAAGAGTCTGTTCTCATCAGGGGACAGGTTCTCTAGTAAGGTAGTTAGATGGGACGAAAATGGTCTAAAATATGAAATGCAACATGGGCGCCATATTGTAAATTGTGCCAAGATTATGCAAATTGTAGTTACTATCATAGTTTAATTGCTTCATTATTGTTATTTTAAAGGAAATACTGAATGTCAGAAAATCTGTAATATGTTTTATTTGAGAGATGTAAATAATGTATACAGTCTTATATGTGGTGGAATGGGAGGTATTTAAATTCTAGGTTTTTCTTTTTTTTTTTTTTTTAAGGAAGAAAATGTTTATAAGCAAAAAAACTTAATAAATAGTTATGTTTGGCCACAAATCCTGACTTCGCATTACTGTTTATTTTTACTATAGGTGCTTTTACACTGAACACATTTCAAAGCAAAGTGAAGGTATATAGAACATTGTAGCAGGAATCTTAGAGAGTCTTATTAATAAAACAAACCCAGAGCCAAGTATTGGGGTGAACTGGAAGATCAGAGAGACAGAACAAGCCACAGCTAACCTCACCTGGGCAACTTCTCAGCTCATCTTGTTTCCTCAGACTGGAAGCCTCTGTGTCCTCATATCCGAATGGCTCTCAGCTGAACCGTGCTGCTAGAAGCCTGAAAGCTTAACCAGCCAAATGCTTCTAGTTTCTGGTCCTTGTGCTTTGTATATCTTTCTGCTTTCTACCACCACTCCCTGGGATTAAAGGCTCACTTTCTGGGATTAAAGGCAAGTGTCACTGTGCTTGGCCGTTTCCAATGTGGCCTTGAACTCACAGAGATCCAGAGGGATTTCTACTTCTGGAGTGCTAGGATTAAAGGTGTGAGTGCCACCATTTTCTAGCCTTTGTATCTAGTGGCTGTTCTGTCTCTGACCCCAGATAAGTTTATTAGGGTACACAATATTTTGGGGAACACAATACCACCACAGAACATATCGAACATTTCAAAATTTGTTAGGCAGTACTTTCTGTTAATTCTCACAACACTGGAAGTTACCATCTATATACCTTACATTCTAGAAAACTAAAGTTCAGAAATTGTACACATTACCGTGTCTATGGCTTAAAGGCTCTTATATATGCCTGAATTTAAAACTAATGTTCTCTTTAGTATATACTATTGCAGTGAAAAACAAAACAGCAAAATAATGAAATATTTGTGAATCTCTCTACTGAATTAAGATCTCTAATGAATTAAGAAATGATCTATCTTATCTTCATTATAAATCATTCCACACATATATATGGTGGAAAGCTACTAAGGAACAATACATATATATTATATAATTTTATGTCTGTATGTGTGTACTTGAGCGTACATACATGCACCATATACATGCAGGAGCCTGTGGAGGTCAGAAGAGGCATTGAATTCCCTGGAACTGGAGTTATAGTTGTGAACTGCCCTATGGAAGCTGGGAATCGAACCTGAGCAGCCCTTTGCAAGGGCAACCAGTGCTCTTAACCCCTGAACCATCATTCCAGTCTCTTAATTGAAAATAGATTTTTTTCATAAAATACATTCTGATTATGACTTCCCTTCCCCCAACTCTTCCCAGATCCTGTCTCCCCATCTACCCAAAAACCTATACCCTTTTCCTCATCAGAATACAAACAGGCATCTAAAAATAATAATAAAATATGACAAAAACAAGCCAGAATAGGATGAAGCAAGCAAACTACCAGGAGAAAAAGAACCAAAGAAAAGGCACAAGAAATGCATATATGTAGCTGGAGTTTTCTGTGCGGGTCCCGCCAAGCCCCGGCAGTCCGATGGCCCACTTATAAAATAAATACACAGACGCTTATATTATTTACAAACTGTATGACTGTGGCAGGCTTCTTGCTAACTTCTTATATCTTAAATTAACCCATTTCTATAAATCTATACCTTGGTGGCTTACCAGAATCTTCACATGCTGCTTGTCCTGGCGGCGGCTGGCAGTGTCTCCCTCCGCCTTCCTGTTCTCTCAATTCTCCTCTCTGTTAGTCCTGCCTATACTTCCTGCCTGGCCACTGGCCAATCAGTGTTTTATTTACTGACCAATCAGAGCAACACATTTGACATACAGACCATCCCACAGCACATATAGACCCAGAGACACACAGCACACAGAAATTCCATAAAAACCTAACACTGGAAACCAGAAGATATATGCAAAAGACCTGTAAGGAGAAAAACCAACTAAAACTAATGCCCAGACTAGCTAGAGTTTTTCTGGTCCTGCCTGGTCCACAGTCAGGACAAATCTCTCTCACCCACCAGTCCTGCAGCTGCTCAGACCCAACCAAGTAAACACACAGAGACTTATATTGCTTACAAACTGTATGGCTGTGGCAGGCTTTTTGTTATCTTCTACTTCTATCTTAAATTAACCCATTTCTATTAATCTATACTTTGCCACGTGACTCGTGGCTTACCAGTACGTTACATCTTCCTTGTCCTGGTGGAGGCTGGCAGTGTCTCTGCTTCAGTCTTCCACTTCCCACAATTCTCTCTCCTTGTCCTGCCTATACTTCCTGCCTGGCTACTGGTCAATCAGCACTTTATTTATACAGAGTGATATCCACAGCACCAGACAAAGCATTGAGTCAAGGAATCTCCAAAAATGCCATTGAGTTTGTGTTGGCCATCTACTGCTGGGCATGGGGTCTGTCCTTAAAAGTAGTTTGTATTCCCAATGATACTCCATTGGAGAAAACTGATTTATCTTTTGCAAGCAGTTATCAATTGGAGCTAGCTTCTGGGCTAGGGATGGGGAGAGGGGTCATGTGTCAACTTCTTTTGTCTCTAGGTCCCCAACTCGCTTGGACCCATGCAGGGAATATGCATGTTGCCACAGTATCTGAATTCCTATGTGTTGGTCCTGGCTGTGTTTAGAGGGCCTTGTTTCCTTGGCGTCCTCCCTCACCGCTGATTCTTACACTCTTTCTGCCTCCTCTGCCATGAAGTTAATTCCCTGAACCCTGAGAGGAGGGGTTTGATGGAGACATCCCATTTAGGACTGAATATTCCAAGGTTTCTCTCTGCACTTTGTCCTTTGTGGGTCTCTTTTTGTTTCCATTTGCTATAGGGAGAAGCTTCTCTGATGCTGGCTGAACGAGACACTGACCTATGTGTATAGCAGAATGTCATCGCTTTATTGCTACGTCCCTTTATCAGAACAGTATTTGGATTTCCTCTAGGTCTCTGGCCTGTCTACTCTCAGGCCACCTTAGTAGTGTCAGGTATGGGTTCCATCTTGGGGAGTGGGCCTTAAATTCAATCAGTCTGCAGACTCACTTTTTAATTTCTGCTCTTCCAAGTTTTAAACCGGGGACAAGCAGTTGAGGTGCCTACTTAACCTATCCAAGTGGACCTGGCCGCTCTCCAGCCCAGGGGCTGGGCTGCCGTTTCCCCAAGAGGCTCTTCCCTGTGTTATCCAGACATTTTGGTCACCTGTCCCTTTTTGTAGCTTTGGCCTTTTGGCTGCTGCACCTGGTTCTCCGTCCCGCCCCCTCTCCTCCCCATATGGCCCAGCTCAGTCTGGTCATGTTCACTCTGGACTCTCCCAGATGTCCCTGCTTCTACCTACACTCTCCGTTTTATCTATAATAAACTTTCTCCTCCACCATACCTAAGGGTAGTCATGTCCTTTCCTTTTTATATCTTCTTTGTTTCATTAAGTCACCATTTCTCTGCTGCTAGGTCCATTTGTAGGACATACTTCAGGCCAAATGATAATTACAAGCTAAAAGATAATAACGAGTCCCTTGGTTTTAATGATAACTTGAATCTAACCTCCAGATGGGGATAATCTATTTACTAGGTCTTTACCCTGCCTAAAAATGAACTGCATCTGTATCTACCCCAGTCTTGTACGGACTGCATACAAATAAGTGTGTGTGTGTGTGTGTGTGTGTGTGTGTGTGTGTGTGTGTGTGTGTGCGTGCGTGCGCGCGCAGAGTAAGTACATCTCTATAGAAATATACGTATATGACATTAAAAGTCACGTGTTAGGCGATGGACATGCAATGTTAAGTCACAGCCATGCTGCTGAGAAACGTATCTAGTGTTAGGTTACTATAAACAACAGCACAGCGGAGCTTGCAACTTAAAGCGGAGAGCTCTTCCTTGGGTGGCTTGATGATGTCCCGTTCCCTGTCTCAGTTCCCCTGGCCTCAGACTTTAAACCAGTAGCCACTCCCTCTCTTTAGGTCACTCCCGGCACTTCCTGTCATTCCCAGCCCTAAGGTGGGATTCGCACTGGATCACTGGTTAACGAAAAAACCCTGAATGCAGTGCGGGACAGCTACGCGTTTCCTGTGAGCAGCACCTGCTGAGGCTTTTCGGTTTGAATTTCCGGATCGCCTGCTTTTCTTCCCAGAGTTGTTGAAACCTCCAAGCCTGGCAGTCAGAAGGGCTTCATCCTGCAAGCCCCGCCCCCTGCCCTCCCAGGGCTCTCCGGGCGAGGCCCGCCCCCTGTCCTCGAATGAGCTCATCGCGCAAGCCCCGCCCCCTGCCCTCCCAGGGCTCGCCGCGCAAGCCCCGCCCCATGCGCTCCCACGGCTCGCCTCACAAGCCCCGCCCCCTGCCCTCCCAGGGCTCGCCGCGCAAGCCCCGCCCCCTGCCCTCCGTGCCCCGGGGGCCCCTCGCTCCGGGCTTGGAGCCGCGTTACTGGTCCTCGCCGGCAGGCCGGGGCGAGGCGTGGAGGCTGGGAGTCGGGGCCGCCAGGGCGTGGCCGCTCCACGGGCCCGCCCAGCCGCCGGCGCCTCCGCGCGCGCCAAAGTCAAAGTGCGGGTCCCGCCGGCGCGAGCGTGACGCCGCCGTCCCCAGCTCCCCGCGCCGCCGCTCTCCTGCAGGTCCCGCGCCCGAGCCGCCGCGAGCCAGGCATGGCCACCCCGCCCAAGAGGTTCTGCCCGTCCCCCTCCACCAGCTCCGAGGGCACACGGGTCAAGAAGATCTCCATCGAGGGGAACATCGGTAAGGCGGCCCCGCTCCGGTGCCGGTGCCTCGGGGTTCCCTCTGTCCGCGCCGGCGCGGTGGCTCCTCTGGCCCTGCGCCAGCCCGGGGCTTTGTGAGGCGCGCTCTGCGCCGCTGCACCCTCTTTGTTGGGGACTTCCATTCGCAAGGGTTCGGGGCGCCGTTGGGGATGCTGCTTTAATGGAGATGTAACTTAGGTAGGAGAAACCCTTTTCCGGTAGGTTTCCCCGACTTCCCGCCGTTTTACCGCGAAATTGAGAACGTTTTCGTCACCGCCCGCTCCAGTTCCCTTTGTGCTTCTCTGTAGTCAGCCCTTTCTCCCTTCCCATCCCCTTACAAGCCCTGACATGTTTCTTTTTAATACCTGCAAGTTTTGTTTTTTCCAGTGCCCTAAGCAGAACCAGAATGTCTGGTCTTCTGTGTCTTGTTTGGTTTACCAGAGTGCTTTTAAGATTCACTCATGCTGTTTATTTCTGTAGTACTTTAAAAAAAAAATTATTTGGGTTTTTTGAGACGGGGTCTCTCTCTCTGTAATCCTGACTGTCTTGGAACTCACTATGTAGACCAGACTGACCTTGAATTTAGATCCGCCTGCCTCTGTGTAGCATGAATCTTAGAAGGTCTTATTAATAAAAACAAACCTGGGTCAGGTATTGGGGTGAATGCTGGAAGATCAGAGAAGCAGAACAAGCCACAGCTACCTCACCTCGACAGTTCCTCAGCTGATCCTGTTTCCTCAGACTGGAAACCTCTGAGTCCTCATCCAAATGGATCTCAGCTGAACTGCTGCTCAAAAGCCTGAATGCTTAACCAGTCAAAAGCTTCTAGTTTCTGGTCTTTACGCCTTACATACCTTTCTGCCATCTGCCATCACTCTGTGGGATTAAAGGCGTGTGTCACCATGCCTGGCTGTTTCCAATGTGGCCTTGAACTCACAGAGATCCAGGCAGATCTCTGCCTTTGGAATGCTAGGATTAAAGGTATTTGTGCCACCATTTTCTAGCCTCTATGTCTATCTAGTGGCTGTTCTGTTCTCTGAGCCGATAAGTTTATTAGGGTGCACAATATTTTGGGGAACACAATACCACCACACCTTTGTCCCCAGAGTGTAGCACTTTTTAAAAAAGTGTTAAATAATATCCCACTGAATGGTATATACCACATCTATTCCTTGGTTGTCAACATTTGGATTGGCGTTTGTGGCAATTCCTAGGACTACAATAGACTCACGAGGGAAGAAGTTTTTAATGATTTTGACTGGTGAATTTTTTTTTTTTTTACTTCCTTTCCCACCTACAGGTAAACACTGAAGTATGGTTCAAAGACCATTGGAGTTTCTGCCCTAATGGGGGTAAACTACACTGTGCATGCCACTTTGCATGGTGAACATGAATCTCCCATTCTTTTATATTTCCTACCACAGGAAGTCTACTGAAGTTTCCTGTTTTGAGACAGCTGTTATTTTGGGGGGCTGCAGGTTGAGTACTGACTATTGATGTATGCAGCAGATGTTTTCATTCCTACCACATTCTCTTCTCCAAAGCACTGGCTCTTTAAGAAGGCAAGCAGGTGTAAGCCTTCAAGAGTGTAGAGCTGAAACAAACAGGAGGGCTTGTTTTACTTGCTCCACACTGAAGACGCGGGCCATTGGAAGAGATCCTCACTTCTTAAAAGTTCCTTGAGGCCGGGCGGTGGTGGCGCACGCCTTTAATCCCAGCACTCGGGAGGCAGAGCCAGGCGGATCTCTGTGAGTTCGAGGCCAGCCTGGACTACCAAGTGAGTTCCAGGAAAGGCGCAAAGCTACACAGAGAAACCCTGTCTCGAAAAACCAAAAAAAAAAAAAAAAAAAGTTCCTTGAGATGTCATGCTTACTAGCAAGACTCCTCACAGCCTCTTAGTGGATAAAGATGACCATATGTAACGACAGAAGGAAGTTCTCAGTGAAGTCATCTTTGAAGTAAATGTCAGTGGCCAACCCCTGGGATCAGAACCATAATGGATTATCCGTCTCCCTTCTCTCAAACCCAGATAGGCGACAGGCATCTCGAAGTCTCCTTGCCTCCATGCATCTTTAATCTTCTCAGCACTGAAATAATGTGTGAACGGGTCACTCCATATCCTGTTTACCAGCTTCCAGAGCTGCTTTTCTGCATACGGATGCAATTGTGTTATCTGTGCCTAAAATTCCTGGCCGACATCCCTGGAAATCCCTCCCTCGATGACCTGGAAAGACCTGGAAAGGACATTAATGTCCTGCAGTGGCACACTATTAGGAAAACTTAGTTACAAGTATTAAGACTTCCCCTCAAGCATCTAGATCTTTGACCGTCAAAAATTCTGAGGACTTGGCAACTAGACTTACAGTGGTGTTGTAGGAACTGTCATTTAGATTAAGGTTGTGTCTCACCACTGGTTGACTTTCCTGTGGGGAGGCTTCATCAGCTGCCTGTTGCTCTTGTATGGTTGTTTACATCCCTTTCACCTTACTTGTTGCAACCTGCTGATGTAAAAATTGTGCAATCTGTGAAGACTGGTTTGTAATTCTTCTCTTCTTCCTAAAATTTGAAGATTGCTTGGCCATTTTAAGTTGCACAGTCACGTAACAACCTGTTTTCTCTTGTTCTGGGTTTACGGAGCTATTCCCGTAGGTTAGATTTGTGGAGGCTTCATCGGCTCATTTCAGTGTGTTCAGAATGACACACTGTACGTTCTGCCTGTATATATGCCTGCGCTCCAGAAGAGGGCACCAGATCTCGTTGTAGGTGGTTGTGAGCCACCATGTGGTTGCTGGGAATTGAACCAGGGTCCAGGGATTCTGTTTGTTAACGTAGCTGTTTGGTGGTTGTTTGTGTTGTGTTTGAGATGGTTTCAGTGCACAGCCCTCACTGGCCTGGAACTCACTATGTAGTGACTATGAGGCTTCAGACTCCCAGCGTGCTCCTTGCCTTTGAGTGCTCGGCATCAAAGCCCCGTGCTCCTGTGACCTGTAAAACTGTTCATAGGTGTTCTTGCTTGTTGTCATCCACCTTCACAGAATATTAGTTTATTCGCTTTTTTTCCAGCTCTGATCTCCCTCCCAAACGTTAAGGAAGGAACTGGGTAGCGACTATTTGGAAACTACAACTTGACGATGATTACTCAGCTTGAAGTAAAATTTAACGTTTGCAATTTTAAAGTTTGACTGTGTAAGCTTCTTTGGTTGTAATCGATGTCAGAAGAAGGCTTAATGTGTTAGCCTTAAGTGCTTTTAGATTCTGGACTAGTTTGAGATACTTCAGTGTGTTTCTTGTCTACCCTGAATATCATGTTCTCTTTTCCGCCTAGTCTAATGAATGATGACTATTTACATCACTCTTCTAAATGCGTTATTGTCTGTAGCTTATCCTTTCCACACAAAATTTCGGTCACCAGTGTTCTCCCCTCAACTAAATAGCCACCCAGTTTATCTTGCATTTATTTCTTCTCCTTTTTGGATACACATTGATGTGTTGTTCTTCACCTGCCCTGTCATCCTATAGATCCCCATTTCCTTAATCTGTGCATGAGTATCTGAAGTTCTTCCTGATTCCTTCTTGCCTTGTATAATGTTGCAGGTTTGAGTATACTTCTGCAAGTCAAGGGTAAGTTCTTTGTGCCCACCCTGAGTCCATTTATAAGGAAGAGGACACTTGGCGAAGATATTGAAGCTATATGGTTGTGGGGTGTGTGTGTGTGTGTGTGTGTAGCAAAAGAGGAAGGAAGAACATAATACTGGCCAGTGACGCCTCATATAACAACGTTTGGTGACTTAAGATAGAAAGGGTGTGGTGGCCATTAGAAGTACTGCTCTTAGCCACAAGGTCCAGACTCACTGATACTAAAATGATGACTATAGTATGTCCTGATGACACATAAGCTATTTTTGTCTTTTTCTTCCCTAGATATCTCAGAAACTAGTGAACGATCGGGAAAAGTAAAGCTATCTTTTTTTTTTAAGGGTTTGGTAGAGGGCACAGAACCATAAAATTGAGGCAGATTTCTACAGCTGTTACTGATAGGAAGTGCTTTGCAAGACTTAAAATAATTTGTTAGCTATAGGCTTTATTAGAATCAGATAGTAATGGTTGTCAGCTCTTAAGCCTTGGATGTGTCTTCACATTGATTTTATAGTTATCTCTTAATTGGTTTGTTATTGGTAAATTATTTTGGATGTATTAGGGGTCTCTACCCTTCTTTTCCCCTTTTTAAAAAAATTGTTTTTTGGTGGGCAGGGAGGCATGGTCTTGCTCTGTAGCCCAGGCTGGCTCAGCACTCACTATGTATCCCGGCTTGAACTTCAACTCATACCAGTCCTCCTGCCTAAGCCTTCCAAGTGCTGAGGTTACAGGTATGTGTTATTACACCTGCTGTAGTTTGTTTTTTGAGACGCGTCTCATTACGTAGCCCTGGCTGGCCTGGAGTCCAGAATCCATTTCCTTTAGCCTGCTGAATTGGGAGTTAGAAGTGTAGGCCACAGTCAGGGAACTCTTTAGACTGAGAAAGTAGAGTCAGTTGAAAGGAAGGTTTTGAAAACCCAGAAGACTGGAACAACTGTCACTTGTTGTCACAATAACTTTGGAAAGAATGGTAAGAATCGCGTCTTCCTATGTAACCAGGAACCAGGTCCGGGCCTTGGTCAGGTTCACACAACTGGCTAGGGAGGACAGGCTTCTTACTCTTCAGAAAGTTCTTTTTCTAAGGGCTTGGCTAAGGAAAGCTAGGCTAGAAGGCAGGTTTTTGTTTGTTTGTTTTCTGTCATAATATCTTTCTTAAACTTAATCAGGCTTTTAAGTCTTCTGTTCCTTGCCTTTGATAAACTAAAAATAATAACAGATTTGTTCGGCACAAATGGCTAGGGACCATCTTTGAGTTTAGTTTATAAAAAAGATGAAGGAAAGGGTCTTACTGTTTCTCTGTATGTATCGTTCACTGTTAATCTTGTCAAAGCCAATGGCCGTTGGTTATGTTTTGCTTTTTAAACAAGTTTTCTTAATTTTGTCTTTTCTTTTTTTCCAACAGCTGCTGGGAAGTCAACCTTTGTGAATATCCTCAAGCAGGTCTGTGAGGATTGGGAAGTGGTTCCTGAACCTGTCGCCAGATGGTGCAACGTGCAAAATACTCAAGATGAATTTGAGGTACGCGAGGAGAATTTAAGTCAATGCAACAAAAATTCTTTAGGGCTGGGTATGGCCCAGCAGGTAAGAGCACTAGCTGTTTGTTCTACAGGACCCAGGTACAGTTCCCAGCACCCGTGTGGTAGCTCAGAATTGTCTGTAACTCCAGTTCCAGGGGTTCCAATGCCCCCTTCTAGTCTCTGGGCACCAAGAACGTACTTGGTGCACAGACATACATTCAGGGAAAACACCCATTCACATTAAAAAAAACCTCTTTAGGTTAGAGAAGCAGTGTATTTTTGTTTTTTATCCCCCTCTGCCCCATTTCCAATAACCACTTTCAAGTCTAGATGTGTGTGTAAAAATTCACTGAGCTTTGCATTTAAGATTTATGCACTATCACATCAAAGTTTGAAAGGTTTTAAAAGTTTAAAAACTTAAAGCAGCTGGGCAGTGGTGGTGCACACTTTTAATCACAGCATTTGGGAGGCAGAGGCAGGTGGATCTCTGTGAGTTTGAGGCTAGCCTGGTCTACAAAGCAAGTTCCAGAACAGCCAGAGCTGTTATACAGAGAACCCCTGTCTTGGAAAACCAAAACTCAGAAACAACAACAACAAAAAAACTTACACAAATTAAATTTCTTGAGTGATTTTTACAATTTAAATGAAAATACATGAGAAAACCTAAACCTCCAATAATTGAATTTTATTAATCTTTTCAGCCCCTGTCATGTGCAAATCCATTTCTGTCTCATTTCTTTATACTATACCATCATCCTCCACAACATTTCATTCTGGCCATGCTTCACTTTACTAGCCCTTTTCAACACAGCTTTGCAGATGAGAGACTAGGGGAATCAAAAGACTTAATTTCAGTTTTTCATAGCGGAAGTTATGGTTGTGTGTGCTAATGATTGCCAAGAGTTTTCATTTCTGGAGAAGTGAAATTGAAAGTAGAGAGTTTGCAAAGGTCTGCCAGAAACTTGTTCAGTCTAGAAAAAGTAGAGCTATTGATGTGAGGATTTCTGGGAATGATTGGGTATTTCAAATGTAAATCATATACAGAAGGAAAATCAGTAACAAGAACCTGTAGCCTTTGTGGATTGTTGTAGCTAGGATCACTGTTACTATTGTGACCAATAGCAACTTTGGGAGGAAAGGGTTTATTTGGCTTACACTTGCACATCACAGTTCATCATCTTAGGAAGTCAGGGCAGGAACTCAAGCAGGCTAGGAACCTGAGAGAGAGAGCTGATGCAGAGGCCGTGGAGGGTGCTGCTTACTGGCTTGTCCTTACAATGGACTGGGCCCTCCCCCATCTGTCACTAATTAAGAAAACACCCTACAGGCTTGTCTACAGCCAGATCTAATGGAGGCATTTTCTTTTTTTTTTTTTTTTGTAAATCTTTTTTTTTTTTTAAATTTATTTATTATGTATACAGTGCACATATCCCTGCAGGCCAGAAGAGGGCACCAGATCTCATTACAGATGGTTGTGAGCCACCATGTGGTTGCTGGGAATTGAACTCAGGACCTTTGGAAGAGCAGTCGGTGCTCTTAACCGCTGAGCCATCTCTCCAGCCCTGGAGGCATTTTCTTAATTGAGGTTTCCTCCTCTCGGATGACTGTGTCAAATTGACATAAAACTAACCCACACAGGGATATTTGTGAATTGTTTTTGTTTTCTCTTTTTTCTTTTTCTTTTTTTCTTTTTTTTTTTTTTTTTTTTTGGGTAGTTCTTTTGGATTTAAGGTTTTGATAACTAAATATTTCTCACACTTTTACTTGCAAAGAATAATTAATTTTAGGCTGGGGGGGACAACTTAATATATCCCAATTCTTTGAATATCAAGTACTAAATTTTAAAGAGATTTCCTCCCCATGTGGAATTCATTTTCTTAATTTTTATGTATGAGTCAGAGGCTGTGGTCTTCCGTACTGTAAGTTGGGTTCAGACAATGTGGGAAACAGTATTTTGTGGATAATGTGAAACATGAAGCATTAAGTGTGTGGATGGCTTCTCTGTATTTTTGGATACTGTCTTTACCCCTCATCCCCAGACTTCTACTAGACTCCAAAAACTGGGGTGTTCAGGGCTAGGATGTAGCCCAATGGTAGGTCGCTTGCCTAGCGAGCCCAAGGCCCTGGGTTAAGCCTGGAACCATAAAGAGCTGTATAAATGAAATGAGTTTTATTCTGCATGGAGCCCTTCTTCAGCTCATTCTCGATCTGTTCTTTGTAGTTATAATGTGAATGACCCAGTGTCTAAACCTCAGCTGTCTTAGAATACTGTCAGCACTGAGGAGTGGACCTTGTGGAGCCCAGCCAGTCCTCCTGTAGATCTGACTTTGCTTCCTGGAGGTTGTAGAGTTGGAAGAACGTGGCGTTAGCCTTCCTTCCTCTCTTCCCTCTGTAACTAAATGTCCATCTCTATGCTTTGCTTATTTGGTTGTAGCGGTTTATTTCTTTAACCTGCCATCTAGTGGCTGAAATGTTACCGTGCTACCAAAGGGCTACCAATTCTTGTCAGAATAAGACGTGGTAAAGTACAAAGATTACATGGTTTCCTGCCTCATTCCCTGAATTCCGGCAACAGTGGTTTTGAGAACCAGCAGGTGATTATTATTAATCTTTGTTTTACAGACTCACTTAAAACAGTACTTTACTCTCTGGTGATTTGCATGATGTAGTCCCAAGGCTTTGACTTAATTGCTTCCTTTTTATATATATACACTGTTAGGAGGATTTCTCCCCCACCTCCCACCATGGGTCCCCACCTTCTTTTTTTTTTCAGTTGAATTCTTTGTTGTCTCAAGGAAGAAAGAAAAAAAATCCCTATTTGTTTTCTTACATCTCTTGTCAATGGTTATGTGTTGTAAAGGATGATATTCTTTCTCAAGCAATCAGAATTTTTTAGCTGTGATTCTGTAAAAAAAAAGACACTTTTATCCACTGCATTTTCTACAGTGTCTTATAGAAGATAAAATACTTGATTTTTTTATCTTTTTACTTACAGATTTCCAGAAAAGATAATGGATGCTTTAACTATCTCCAAAGATGACAGGTTTTTGTCTTTTTTTTTTTTTTTTTTTTTTAAAGCACTATGAACTCACAGATTTTCACCCTCCTTGTTTTTGGCTGTCCAGACTTCTCTAACACATAGAAGCCCCTTTGTGCAATGCCAGGAGATCTCCGATAGTTTCTTTGTTTATTGGAACAAGGCGTATGAAGCCCAGCTTCCAGACTTGGAATCTGACACAGAACACCTCTCAGAGGGAAACGTATTTAGAAGTCATAGTCTAGATGACATTTGTGATTGTCCTACAGGATTATTATTGTTCATAAGCTTTTTATTGGACTGAGCTGGGAAACTGTATTTTATAGAAAAAAAATTAATTCTAGATGCCATTTGCAATTCCTATTTAAGATGAAAGAATTTTAAACTAAGTTTTTTTTTTTTTTTTTTTTTTTTTTTTTTGGTTTTTCGAGACAGGGTTTCTCTGTGTAGCTTTGCGCCTTTCCTGGATCTCACTCTGTAGACCAGGCTGGCCTTGAACTCACAAAGATCCACCTGCCTCTACCTCCCGAGTGCTGGGATTAAAGGCGTGCGCCACCACCGCCTGACTTAAACTAAGTTTTTATTGTTACATTTTTTTTTTCTCAATGCTGAAAATATTGGTTCTGACAACATCGCTATTGGGTTGCAAGTTTGGAGCACGGTTCTGTTCTGTCATATTACAAGATTGGAGTTACAAACTCATACCTAACAGGCCCCAGGCAGTAAAGGAATACACCCAGTCTTCTACTTAACGCTGTTTTCAATGGTTGAACTTATAATTGTTTTTTTAACTTTGTGATGTTGTGGAACATGCACACACAGTGAGTGTCAGTGTACTTTGATTTTCATATTTGGATTTTTCCTACACTGGAAGAGTGTGATGTGACACTCTCTCGTGCTAGACCCCAGCAGTGAAACCAGAGTGGCTCAGAGCAACTAGAAGTCTGCTGTAGTGTGCTGTCCTGTTAAGCTGTGTTGCATTTTCACACTTTGATAGTTTCAGTTTAGGATTTATTTATAAGGACAAAACCCCATTGTAAGTGGAAGAGCACCCTTAAGTTAGATCTGTTAGAAAATCAGGGAATGTTGGAGGCTGATAAACTGAGAGTATATTTGTCTTCCCTGAGAGAGGCATGTGTGACTTAGCTGTAGCTGATTTTTTAGAGATTGGTTTATTTTATGTGCATGAGTGTTCTGCCTGCATGTATGTATGTGCTGCAGAGGTCAGAAGAGGGTATCAGATTTCCTAAAACTGGAGTTACAGAGAGCTGCCATGTGGGTGCTGAGAACTGAACCCGAGTCCTCTGAAGAGGAGGAAGTGCTCTTAACCAATGAGCCATTGCTCCGGTGCCCATGTAGCTGATTTTTTTTTTTTTCAAATTTTATTTGTGTGTATATGTGGTTGTATGTGGGCATACATTTAACACGCCTTTAATCCCAACACTTGGGAAGCAGAGGCAGGTGGATGTCTATGAGTTCAAGGACAGCTTGGTCTGTATCCTGAGTTTCAGGACAGTCAGAGCTATATAGTGACCTTGTCTCAAAAAACACAAGACAAAACAAAAAAAGTTAAAGTAACTGTTGGCAATCATATTGGGTTTTTTGTTTGTTTGTTTCTTTTGCCAAATTAGGAATTGACAACGTCTCAGAAAAGTGGTGGGAATGTTCTTCAAATGATGTACGAGAAGCCCGAACGGTGGTCTTTCACCTTCCAATCCTACGCTTGTCTCAGCCGGATCCGAGCTCAGCTGGCCGCTCTCAATGGCAAGCTCAAAGATGCGGAGAAACCTGTGTTATTTTTTGAACGATCTGTGTATAGTGACAGGTATGCAAATGGCTTCTATTTGGCTCTCTGGAGTTTATAACTAGACATTCTTTTTTCTCATTTCCTGATAGTCAAATTAGAGGCTGAGCTGAAGGATTTAGATAGACAATGACATTGAAAAATACCATTAGCATTGAGGTGCTAATGACATTAGCACAGCCCCCTTTTCCTTCCAACCCCTTAGAATTCTGATTGTATCTGGATTTATATCCTAGACTATCGACTTGAAAAAGGAGATAAAAATTAAAAATTTCTAAAGGTGTTTTAGAATTACTCCACTTTTTCACCTCCTTAATTATCTCAGAATAGGGCTCATAAAGTTTTTGGTCTCGGGATCCCTTTTCTTTAATTGTTAAGTAGTCTAAAAAGATTTTGTCATTTGATACGTTTGTTATTAGAAATTACGATTGAGAATCAATATACAATCAATATACAAATATAAAATGAAAGAATCAATCAATAATAAGCATGCTCTGTATTAACATAGATGACTTCTGATAAAAGGTGTTCAAACAAAAATGTAGTGAGAAGAGTAGCATTGCTTTAGATTTTGTAGTTCTTCAGTGTCTGAATTAATAAAACTGGGTTTTTATCCCTGTTTGTATATTTATGTATGCATATATGTGTTTTGGTTGAAGTATAGTAGTGTGTGTGAGGTAAGCTGGCTTCTCATAGAACTGGAAGGGGCTTGGGGACCTCCAGGGATCCTTAGTCAACATTTTGAGAGCTACTGGCAAAGAACCCTTTTCCTATACTGGGAAAGACATTTTGTGTATGCTTTCCAAGGCACTCGTTGCTACAGGATTTAGGAGTGTGTTTCATGCCCACTTCCTCTTTGATAATTTGTGTGTCTGTGTTTGGAAGGACGTGTGTGCTGACGGAGATTCTCTTTCAGGTATATTTTTGCGTCTAATTTGTATGAGTCTGACTGCATGAATGAAACAGAGTGGACAATATACCAGGACTGGCATGACTGGATGAACAGCCAGTTCGGCCAAAGCCTTGAACTGGATGGAATCATTTACCTTCGAGCTACTCCAGAGGTGAGACCACTAAACATTTGCTTGTGCCGTTGAAATTTTAAAGTAATATCAGAAGTCACAAGAGGGATGTAGTAGTGACAGTTAAAGCCAACTTGCAAGCTGGAGAGATGGCTCAGAGGTTAAGAGAACTGACTGTTCTTCCTGAGGACCCAAGTTCAATTCCCAACATCTACATGGTGGCTTACAATCATCTGTAACCACAGTTCCAGGGGATCTGATGCCCTCTTCTGGCCCATGTGGGTACTACACATATGAGGTGGCCAGGCATCTATGCAGCTAACACTCATAGATATAAAATTAAAAAGAAATTAAAAAAAAAAAAAAAACTCTCTAGCTCCTCACCTGGAAACTCAGAGCAGAACAGATTTTTCTCAGCAAACTAGAAATCTACATGTGGCAAGTCTGGTCTTCTCTGGTCTTCAACAGTCCTTTATTTTTATTTTTTATCTTTATTCCTAACTTATTCAGCTTCTCATCCCATCAAAGCTAGAATAAGAGACTTGCCAAAGCCACTTCTGAAATATAGACTTAATGAAGTAGAACTTTGGATAGATATTTTAGCTGTTGTTGGATTTCTAGGGCCAGAGGAAGGTCTGGGGACATAGTGGAAACTTAATAAATGTTTGCTTTATGAATATCACAACTGTTGGAGGTTCACTTTATGAAACATTTTATGTGACTGAAGAGATGGCTCAGTGGTTAGGAGCACTGGCTGTTCTTCCAGAGAATCTGGCTTCAATTCCCAGCATCCACATGGTGGCAGCTCACAACTGTCTATAATGAGATCTGGTGCCCTCTTCTGGCCTGTAGGCACACATGCAGACAGAGCACTGTATACATAATAAATAAATACATCTTTTAAAAAATTTATGGTTACTTGTGACTTGGTACAAATAAATAGTGGCACACTTGAAAGAGACTTAGAGATCTTGTTGTTTTCAGCTAAGAGAGCTCCTGGGAAATCCCTGTTCTATTTATGTATTATATTACATAATGAATCCAGACAGATCAAGTCAGCTAGACTGACTGACTAGTGGGAATTTCATATATGAGTACTCTATTCACGTCCTCTCCTCACTTCCTTTCCCTCCTAACGTCTCCCATGTCCTCACTTTCCAAATCATGGCCTCTTAATTCTTTAATTATTATTACCTATGTGTGTGTATATAAATTTGTAAGTACAGCCTGTTGAGTCCCTTCATTGCTGCTCCCGTGAATGTGGGTTTGGGGCTGACTGCTTGGGCTTGATAACCTATCATGGGGCGTGTCCCTGGAGACGACTGCTGCTCCGTCTCAGCCCCTTAGGTTTTGAGACAAGGTCTCTCTGAACCTGAAGCTCGCTGGTTGGCTGGAGTGACTGACTGGTCAGCCAACCCGGAGGATGCGCCTGCTTCCGCCTACCTTCTCCTGGATTGTGTGTGTGCTGGGGACCTAACAGTCGGTCCTCCTGCTGCTGTGGTTGGCACTTTAGTGACTGAGCTTTAGTCATTTGTCATCTTTGTTTTGTTTTTGAGACAAGCTCCCTCTTATGTGGTCCTGGCTGTCCTGGAACTCACTATGTAGACCAGGCTGGACTAGAACTTTCAGAAATCTGCCTGCCTCTGACTCCCGGGTGCTGGGACTAAAGGCCTGTGCCACCACACTGGGCTCATTTGTATCTTTTAATTAAAGATTATTGAAAAAGGATTTATAGCATACTGTGTCACAGTTTATGGGCTGCCATCGTCTCGTGAATGTTACTTGTTGGGGTGCCTGTTTTTCTTCTGCAGTGCTGGGGGTTGAACTCAGGACCTTGTGCATTGTAGACAGGTGCTTCACTACAGAGCACAGTGTTGTGGTTCTCACACCTGAGTGCTGGTGAGCTTCCACAAATTGTACGGAATTTCATTTGTATGTATGCTGTTAGAGAAATGGTTTAGAGTCACACAGTCTAATGTGGCTCTTTAAGTTGATGATTATTAAAGTTATACATAAAGTTTGAAAATTCTGTTCCTTGGTCACCACATTAGCCATGCCTCAAGTGCTGAAAAGCCATGGTGGCTGGTGGCTACCTTGCTCCGTCATACCGATAGAGGGCAGATATAAAGTACCCCGTGTTCTTTTAGGTTGTGGTGGTTCAGAGCATCCATCCAGTGACGAGCTGCTCTTACAGGGATGGAGCACAGTCGGACACATTTGCTTAACAGCCAAGTAGGATGGACAGATGGACACACTCTATAGTTACTTTCTTTTTCTTTCTTTCTTTTTTTTTTTTCTTCGAGATAGAGTTTCTCCGTGTAGTTTTGGTGCCTGTCCTAGATCTCGCTCTGTAGACCAGGCTTGCTTCTAACTCACAGAGATCTGCCTGGCTCTGCCTCCCAAGTGCTGGGATTAAAGGCGTGCGCCACCACACGCTCCCTCCCCCTTTTTATCATACTTAGTTAATTAGTGTATTTCATATGTGGATACCGATTTATTTTTCAAAGTTCACTTAATTTAGAACTACCATCTGACTAAAATAACACAGGGAAAATTAGCTATTTCAACTTTCTAGAAGAAATAAATGCAGGTTTTTGGAAAACATAAAGATACAGAAAATAAAATTTTAACAGTAGCAGACACAAATAGTTACTTGAATTTTTCTTACTGCTTTCTTTTAGAAATGCTTAAGTAGAATATATTTACGGGGAAGAAATGAAGAACAAGGCATTCCTCTGGAGTATTTAGAGAAACTTCACTATAAACACGAAAGCTGGCTCCTTCATCGAACTCTGAAGTAAGGGTTTCTTATTGTTTGCTGCTCACTGTGATTCCCTTTATCAGATTTTAATCTAGAAGCTGGATGGTGTGAGTAACAATGTTACTTATTTTTATTTTTTAAATATTTTTTATTTTTTTGTTTTTTTGAGGCTGTATTTTTTCTGTGTAGCTTTAGTGCTGTCTTGGAACTCAAATCTGTAGACCAGGCTGGCCTCGAACTCAGAGATCTGCCTGCCTCTGCCTCCCAATTGCTGTGATTAAAGGTGTGCGTTATCCCCACCCCACCATCCAGCTAAATGTTTATTTTTATTCATATATTTATTCATATTTCCAAGTTACTTGTTTGAAGGTTGTGTAACTAGTATCTTCTAATGTTATTTTTCCTTTAATTAATAAAGTAAGACTATGTGTATGTTATTAAGATACACTCAGAAATAATTTTAAATCTGATGTTATATTCTGTTTTAATTTTTATACTTCCAATGACATATTAGCCTTAATCCAAAAATATTAAATATACTTTCAGTTATATATTAGCCTTAATCCAAAAATACTAAATGTGAAATTTCAGAAAGAGTTCATGAACGGAAAGTTGCTTGCTAAGCTGACTGTACCTGGCTGTGGTCCTGTCTCCTGGGAGACTGGGGCTGTACAATTGCCTGAGCCCAGGAGCTTGAGGCCATACTGGACAACATTGCCTTCCATTCTGAGAAGTGTTGAAATACTGTGCTGTCCAGCTCCATCTGTTCTACCCAGAAGTGCCCAGGATATGAGTTGTAGCTTTGACCAGCTTCTCTAGGCATATACAGGATGTGCTTGATAGTCATTTAGTAACTGTTCTGAGAGTGAATGTCACATACGATAGTGCTTATAACCAAGTACCCCTTGTCTTACTCAGTAATGGTTCTGAAGTGCTAGAGTAGGGAGGGATACTGGCAACCTTATGCCAAAGAGAAGCTCTGATGCCCTTTAAATGGAAGGGGAGAGTTCTCAGCTCAGGGAGGGAAAAGGCAGTTCAGGTAGAAAGTGTTAAATCTGTATATGTATGGTATGTGTACAAAAAAACTGCACACAGAGTGGATATGTATGTTATGTGTAAGAAAAAACTGCACACAGAGTGCATGTTGCCGTGATCTCAGACTTACTGGGAATCTTGGAATGCATCCCACGCGGCCAAGGGAAGTTACCGGGATGTAGTTTAAACTTGTGTCTTCAGTCATGACTTGTTAATGGTGTAAACTTTGTCCAGTCAGCTCTTGGGCAGTCTGTAACTGTGTAGCGCCTGAGGCTCTGAACGGCTTTTCTGAGTTTAGTTTTCTGTCTGTTTTTTGGCAGTGTTGGAAATGGAGTCCACTGCCTTGGACATGCTAGGCAGGCACTCTCCAACTACACCACACCAGCAGTGTCCTCATCGCTAAAACATCAAACCTTTCTCATTTTTTTGCTTTTGAGCAATGACGTATCATAATGCCTAGCTTTACATGTTCTGTGGCTGAGACGGTTGTATGCAGAGTAGTAAATCTACGTGTAAAGAGACGGTCAGCGCTTCACCACAGGATAAAAACTGTACAATGACTGACAACATTGTGACTTTTGAATTATAGGTGTTTTTTAATGTTTTTTTTTTTTTTTTTCTGATTTTGTTCATCCTTCTTTTTAAACAGAACCAACTTTGAGTATCTTCAAGAGGTGCCTATCCTCACACTGGATGTCAATGAAGACTTTAAAGACAAGCATGAGAGTCTGGTTGAAAAGGTCGGTTTGGAAAAAGATGAGTTTTATCTTGTCTAAGACAGTTATATTAATTTGTGAAAACACATGCTTGCAGAAGAGCTTCTGTAAAAGTATATGGAGAGGGCTGGGGGTGTAGCTTGGGGGTTGAGTGCTTCCAGGCGTTCATGAGGCCCTGGGTTTGATCCCCAACATCACACACACACACACACACACACACACACACACACACACACACACACATACATTAAGAAACTTGAATCTATAGAAAATTCTGTGGGTCACCACCCTTCTAGGTGGTGTCTTTCTTTCACAGGGGTCTAAGACCATCGGAAAATACAGATATTTATACATTACGATTCACAATAGTAGCAAAATTACAGTTATGAAGTGGTAACGAAATAATTTCATGGTTGGGGGTCATCACAACATGAGGGAAAGGGTCGTCATGTATTAAAGGGTCATGACATGGTATTAGGGAGTTTGAGAACCACTCCTTAGACCATTTAGATTTGAGTCCTGGTTTTGAATTCTAGCTCTGGCCTGAGCTAAAATAATCTATTTTTATCTCCTTTTCTGGAAGACGGCGCTGTGCTTTTCTTTCTCATCCTTTTCTCCTGTTTTGTCCCACTTTTTCCGTCACACATCACCAGCGTGTACCTGTTTTAATATAAACTGTTTATAAAGTTAGTTTATCTTTTGCACAGAATGCAGCGTGGAGGGTATTTAAAGTTGTAGGATATAGTCTCATTCATTTTTAACTGATGTTTGGGGAATAGGCAGTGCTAGTTTAAATCTTTGTTGGAGACCATGTCAAGGATGAATTGGCCTTATCCTAACCATTGAGTCTGTATTAACAAAGGTTAATTTAACCTTCAGAAAATCGAAAGTTGATCGTTATCTGATGAGTAATGTAATTTATACATATAAGGGAGAGACTTAGCTAAAGAACCTTCAGGTGACAGGAAGAATTGTGTAATAAATCCTTATCTACATTAATTAGCTTAGTGATCTCATGTCTAAGGAAAAACATATTTGTTTAGTTTTGACGGAAACTTATGGGCTATTTTTTTTTTCTTCATGAAATGTCTGGCTGTTTACTATAATAAAATCTTGACTATATCTCAAAAAATTGAAAACCTTAACATTTGAAACACTTTACCATATATGTTGATTCCCCTATCAAATAAAGTAATACATATGTAGAAAATTCAGGTGACTTACTATTTATGATATTAAAACATAAGGTAGAATTAACATATAATATTATTAAGATAAAATTAGCAGCAGTTGTAATAACACCAAGCATCAATTTAACTAAACCTATAAAACCACTTTAATTTTATTTTATTATTTTAAAGTTTTCTTTTTAAAGATTTACTTATTTTATGTGTATGGGTGTGTTGCCTGTATGTACGTCTGCACACCAGAAGAGGGCATTAGATCCCACGGGACTATAGTTATAAATAGTTGTGAGCTGCTGTGTGGGTGCTGAGAATTGGTCTCAGGACCTGGAAGAGCAGCCAGTGCTCTGACCCACCGAACCATCTTTCTAGTCCCTGTTATTTTAAAATTTAATTAATTTTTTAATGTGTTTAAGTGTTTTGTCTGCAAGTATGTACATGCTCCAGGAATACAGGAGAACATGTCAGATCCCCTGGAACTGGAGGTACAGGTGGTTGTGAGCTGTTATATAGGTGCTGGGAATCAAACCTGGGTCCTCTGCAAGAGTAGCAGTGCCTCATAAACAATGAGACATCTCTCCGGTGCCACATTTCTTAGCTTTAAACAAACACTTCCGTTCTTAGACTAGGAATCATTTCACATTATTTTTTTAATTAATAATCCTGGAATTTGGGGGAGGGTATTTTTATAAGGCAACAACCTTTATCTTTGAAGCAGAATTTTGTAGTCTAGAGTGGAGAATTAGAGTCTTACATTGTAGTCTTCTTCTGTTGGCTAGGTTTATTCAGAATTTACATAGCTTTGTTCATACACTAACATTCTAGAAATTTATGCCTTGCGGCTCAGCAGTTAAGAACACTGGCTCCTCCTCTTCAGAGGAGTCAGAGTCCCAGGACCTCATGGTGACAACTGTCTATAACTCCAGTTTCTGGGAATCTGACACCCTCTTCTGGTCTCTCTGGGCACTAGACATGCACATGGTACATAGACATACATGCAGGCAAAATATTTACACATAAAATAAAAAATAAATTTATGCCTTAATACAACAGATTTACATGATTGATTTGCAAAGGTGTTTAATTTCTTATAATTATCAGTGTTAAAGCTGTACATATCATTGATCTATATTATTTAAATATAGATATTTAAAAATACAGAGACCATAACCTGGAGGTGGTGGCGCATGCCTTTAATTCTAGCACTTGGGAAGCAGAGGCAGATGGATCTTTGTGAGTTCAAGGACAGCCTGGTCTATAGAGCTAGTTCAGGACAGCTGGGACTACACAGAGAAACTCCATCTCAAAAAACAAAAACAGAGCGAGAGAGAGAATAAAATTAGTGTTATTACAGGTCTGTTAAAATTATGTCAATCTTTTTTTAAATTGTAGGTCTTAAATATACGTGAATGATTTTAGTCTTCACCTTACTACTGAAGTACTTAGTATTTGTTTTAAAAATGAATGCTGTAGCATTGCGATGTTTATATAACTGGTATGTTCAGCTCTTCTGGATGACGATGAATATTAGATATCAAATTAATTGAAGGAATTGTATTAATTTGTTTTTCCTTCCTTCAGGTCAAAGAATTTTTGAGTACTTTGTGATTGTCCGGGAGACTGCAGGTGACAAAATGTCTCCAGATGCTTCAGCTTGTGTGTCGTAGCAGCTTGATGGTCATACGAAGGTCTTCACAGGATTCAAGTTTTTAAACCAGTTTTGTTTGGCAGACAGAAACCTTTTCTAATATTCAGAATCCCCCTGTAACCTTTGAGCCCCTCCTTTACCCCCTGACACCCTCCACTTCCCTTCCACATTTTAAATGAGAGTGTTTATCTCACTGCGAAGTCTGGAGGTCGATGTTTTCAGAATCAGTACAGCGAGTGGATAAACTGTTATGGAAGGCCCAGCTTTCCCCCTGCCCTGTTGGTGGGTGTCCTGAGCAGGTTGACATGTTTTCATTCTCCCGTTAATGGCCACGTCAATGTTCCATATAAAGGATGTGTGTCTTATGTGAGTGAGTATGCCCATTACGAGCTGAGAAGTGGAGTTTGGGGAATCCCTAGAATAGGGATTTGGTTGAGGTGTGTGTTTTGTTTTTCTTCTTCTTCCTTGAGTGATGCTGGACAGTGAACCCCCAGGGTCTCATTCATGCCAGGGAAGCTTTCTACAGTGAGCTGTCCCCAGCCCCTGACGTGCTGTTGTTATCAAGTGCCTCTCCTACTCTATGAACGTTATCATCGCCTCACTGATGTTTACTAATGTGTCTGCGGTGCATGTGGAGAGGAAGAGGTGAAACCCTGTTCCCAGTATGGTAATGGTGGAATTACTTTATAAATCATTTCATCTGTACCTGTTTCTTCATCTGTGATGAGTACTCTTTTTCTTTCTTTCTTTCTTTCTTTCTTTCTTTCTTTCTTTCTTTCTTTCTTTCTTTCTTTCTTTCTTTCTTTCTAATGTAAATTTTGGAGAATGGAAGAAATCTTTCTATATTTAAAAGGTAGCAAAGACATTTATTACGTGAGTATAAAGCTTCATTAAATTAGCTACTGCTTTTCTTAGAGTACTACAGTTTAAATGCTTGTTTAAATTATGACTTTTTTGGGGGTGAGGCATGGAGACAGGGTCTCTCTACAGCTCTGGCTGTCCTGGAATTCACTGTGGAGACCAGGCTGGCCTTGAACTCACAGAGATCCACCGACCTCTGTCTCCCTCCCTGCTCCCAGTGCTTGATTAAAGTCATGCAACACCGCACCGTCTCTGATTTTCTTGAAATCATTTGAGATACAAGTATAGCTTTTCTTCAGTTTCTTTTTAAGTTTTATGTAAAATATGATGGAACATAATGACATTTTCCACTGGCCCTGTATTGATAATAAGCAGTCTCTCTTTACCGTGGTACATGGTGAGACGGTGAGGGAGACCGTGCCAAGGTGGGGCATTTTAGCCGTTAAGTCTGCGTCTGCCACCTCCCCCCTCCCCCCCTGTACAGTTTTCCTTTTCTATCTGGAGTTCTTAGGCAGTCTGCGAACTTCAGATTGAAGTCACATATTTCTGCTGTGAGAATGTGACCGACCACACTTTGCTCCATAGTTTACTTTGTAGGATTGTTCTTAGATTTCTTATACTCACAGAGAAATTATTGATAAAAACAATTTTGCTTTATATATAGTGTATCATGGAAATGTTACAATTTTTGTTGAACTAGGAAATACTTTAACAAATTCCAGGAGGCTTAAAGCTCCCGTTAATAATGTCCGTATCTCTAAACCACTTCCATGTTTAGCTGTAAAAATCTGCTTGTATTCATCTGAGGCCTGTATGTAATTAAAAAAGTCTTTTTATTGTTTTTTTTCCCCCCAGTGTGGTTTTTTAAGTTAAGATGTGCATTATTTTTACTAGGTAATTAGCCTTTCTACTTCACATTAGGAAAAACGTGTAATTTCTTGAAATGAAGAATCGCGTTTATTTTGAAGCTATAATTTTCCTTTCTCAAGTGTTACCTTTTATTTTTGGTTTCTTATTCAAAGATGATAATTTAGTGGGTTAGCTGGTACAGTAGCACTGATCTTTGAAAAGAGGACTCAATTTCAAATCTGTAATAACTAAAAATAGTCTTGTGATATATCTGACCTCTTTTTATTTTTGTTTGATAAAAATAAATGTGCTAATTTAAATGTTTGCCAATAAATAAACTTCAGTTTTATGAACTATTATGGGAGAGTTTAATTTTCTGAACCAGAAATCATCTGGTTATCTTCTAGGAATTTTATGGCTCTGCATTTTTCATTTGGATCTGTGATCATTTCCAGTGTGTGTGAAGGTGTGTGACTTTGAACTTGTACGTGTATGCCTGCTTCAGGGCCATCTTTGTTTCCGCTTTCTAAAGAGATCAGCTGACTGTCTTTCTCCAAGCCTTTTCCTGGGCTCTTTATTCTGCTTGGTTGGTGTATTTGTCTACTCTTTTGTCAACCTGTCTTGATTGTTTATTGTAGTTTTGTAGTAGTTCGGAGTTGACTAGAGTCAGTCTTCCGTTTGTTTTTTTACAAGGCTTGGCTTTGGAGCCAGGCTGCCGGAACTCAGGGGTCTGCTTCCGTGTCCTTGGGGCTGGCTTAGAGCTGTGCACCACCATGGTTAGCTCCTTCCTTTTCAGCGCTGAGTTGGGTGTTCGGAGACGTTGGCCTACATGTTACCACAGAAGAACTTGCCGACACTATTAATTGGCATTTTGTTGGGTCTATAGATCCAGTTGGGAAGCACTGGCAACTGGAAAATACTCCTGGAGTTCCGTTTTTGTTGTTTGGCTGCCAATGAACACGGATGTCATTCCATTTGTTTAGTGCACTGACATCTTTCTTCAAAGTTGTGTGATTTTCTGCATCTAGATCTTGTACGTATGTTACTGTTTTATGCCTAAGTGGTAATGTATTTTGTTATATTAACTTGACATTCTGCAAGATTGTTTTATTGTTTATTCTAGGTTTTTGTTTGTTTCCACACAAATGACCTTGCCAGCTGTGGACGGAGACATTTTCTATCATTCTTTCCAATGAAGATGCCTTTGCTTTTCCTTGTTTTATTACATTAGGTAGGACTTTCAGTGTGATGTGGAAAACAAGATGTGTTGAGCCTTGTCCCTGATCTTCCCTGGGGAGCTTTAGTTTCTTGCCATTAATGTCATATTAGCTGTTGCAGCTTTAAAAAAGGAAGGAGATTCATTTGTGATAGTGTGTATAAACCTAGAGAACACTCTGCTAAGTGAAGGAATTTAGTTACAGAAGGATAAATACCATATTGACTACAGTTAATACTATAATACTATATTATTTTTATTTTTTTATTTTTAATGTGTGTGTGTGTGTGTGTGTGTGTGTATCTTGAGTGTGTGTTGTGCCATGTGTGTGTAGCTTTCTGAGAAGACCAGAAGAAGGCATCTGATCCCTGGAACTGGAGTTACAGGCAGTTGTGGGCTGCCAGATGTGGATGTTGGGAGCTGAATGTGGGTCCTGGGAACTGAACTAGGGCTTTTGGAAGAGCAACCAAATGCTCAGAACTGCTGAGCCATTTCTCAAGCCCCAATAATGTATTTTTAAATACTTAGTAAATTGTAAGTATTGTCAACCACCAAAAATGATATTTGAGGTGATAATTAGCTTGATTTAATCATGTCAGATATATGCAACATCATTTTACCTGATAAGTATGATAATCATGACAAAACTATATTTCAGGAACATTTATATAAACTTCAGTAGTTCCTTTTCTATTTCTGTGATAAAAATACCTCGACGGGGCTGGAGAGATGGCTCAGAGGCTAAGAGCACTGGCTGCTCTTCCAAAGGTCTTGAGTTCAATTCCCAGCAACCACATGGTGGCTCATAACCATCCCTAATGAGATCTAGTGCCCTCTTCTGGCCTGCAGGGATGCAGGCAGAACACTGTATACATAATAAATAATAAATCTTAAAAAAAAAATACCTGGACAAAAAGCATCTTGGGGAGGAAGGGGTTATTTTGCTCACAGTAAAGACAGCATCAGGAGCTTGAGACAGCAGCTGGTTACATCATATCCACAGACCCAGAGATGGCCCACATTGTCCCTACTTTGCTAGCTGGGCAGAGGGAGGCTATCCTGGGAGAGATTTTGTAATCAAAGTCTCAAGTCAGGGAGGGTAAAGGTTTTTCTATCTCCCACACCAAAGGTCTCCCTGCATTCATTGACTGAGTGAGTGACTGCCCCAACAACCAGTGTGAGCCCAGGAGACTGGTGGTGATATAGACCTGGACTCAGGCTCTACTGGTTACTTTTGTGTCACTGACCAAATGCTTGTTTCTCAGTGTCAGAGGGTTCAAGCCATGGTCATTTGGTCCCTGGGCAGAACATCATGGAAATTGTGTGGCAGAGGAGACCTATTCATGGCTAACCTGAATATGCCACCTGGCAGGTGCCACCAGGCAGGCACAGATAGTATTGAAGGGTCCACTCCCAGAGGTCTTCCTTTAGCCGGATCTCACATTCTAAAGTTTACACAATTTCACAAAATAGATAAGATCTCACTGTCTGTTCCTGGCTGGCCTGGAGCTTGGGAGATCCTGCTGTCTTTGCACCCTACCCTGAGTGCTGGGATTAAAGATGTGTTGTTCTACCAAGCCTTGCTAGGACCAAGCATGTAGGGGAACGTTTCAGATTCAAAACGTAGGCATGCTTACACCCTGAAGATTCATGGTTAAGTAGTACGGGAAGGCCAAGCAGATCAAAAACTAGCAGCAAAAATGAAACAGTAAGAATCAGCCAACAGTTGGGTGGTGGTGGCCGCATGCCTTTAATCCCAGCACTCGGGAGGCAAAGGCAGGTGGATCTTTGTGAGTTCGAGGCCAGCCTTGTCTACAGAGCAAGAACCAGGAAAGGCGCAAAGCTACACAGAGAAACCCTGTCTCGAAAAACCAAAAAAAAAAACTTGTAGAGCTGATGGTGTGAGTAAAAAACACTTTAAAAAAAAGGGGGGGGGGGCGAACCTTATTTTCCCTCCTAAGTAGATAACCCCTATCTTTTAATCTATGCTCTTTTATGTAGCTCGGTTACCTTTTCTCTGTACTGCACATCCTGCTTCATCTCCATCTGACTGGCATCTCTGCCTTTCTTCTTTCCAGAGCTTGCTCTGTCCAGAAGTCCTGCTTGTACCTCCTGCCTAGCCATTGGCCATTTAGCTTTTTATTAAACCCATCACAGTGACATATCCTCACACATATTCCAGAATACTCCTGTCTTCAAACCCCAGTGCTACCATTACATCATGGTTTTCGTTTATTTGTTTGTTGTTTGTGGTTTTTTTTAAACCTGGGTTCTAGGGGTCAAAACAATGTCCTCTGGCTTGCAAAGAAAGTCCTTCACTGACTGAGCCATCACCTTAACCTAATGGTTCATCTTTATTGTCAACGTGAAATATACAGAGAAGGTTGGTAAGGGATGCTTCTGCTTATGCCTCTGAGGATATTTACAGAGAGCACTAGAATTTTTAAAAGATTTATTTTGAACTATGGATATGCATGCGTTGTTGAGTGTGGGTATTTAGTAAATACCGTCATGAAGAATGTGAATAAATCTCACTAGAAAAAGAGACATGCCAATGGCGAATAAGAAAGAAATACCTTGCTTGTATACCATGGTCTCTGGTTTTGTGTTTTATGGGTTCTCTCTCTCTCTCTCTCTCTCTCTCTCTGTGCATATGTGCTCCCTGTGCTTTTTCTTTGTTTCTTCACCCTCCCCCCCCCCCCCGTTTCATTGTTTTCTTCTGTCTTAGTTGGTTTGTTTTTTTTTTTTAGTTGCCTATTTGTTTTCTAAAGAGAAAGAGAAGAAAGGCGTGGGGTTGAATGTGGAGAGGATCTGGGAGATGAGGAAGGGGAAACCTGTGATCAGGAAGTATTGTATAAAAATACATTTTCAGTAAAACAAAACAAAACCAAAAACCAAGAAATACTGCGAATATAGTAAACCATCAAATTTTACAAGATACATAGGAAGAAATAAGCTACTTGAAAATCAGAACGATGTGTAAATGTTTATGCCAAGTGTTGGAATAGCACCTAATTTTACAAAAGCAAATCACCACTAGACAGAAAAAGGTTATTTAGGTCCCAGGGTAACAGTGAGTGACTTTTAATACCAAGGATAACTTTGTACACCTGGATAAAATACCCCCAAATCCATGTGAGAGCACAGAAGACTTCAAGTAGCTAAGGAAACCTGAACAAAACCATGTTGGAAACAACAAGACACAAGGAAAACGCGGCAAGATATTGGCACAGGTGGGTTTCTTGGTAAGACTTCAAAAGTAGGGAACAAGAAATTGACCCCTGGAATTACATCGAAGGGTCTGCCCAGCAAATTAGATGGTCTTCACTCTGTCCTGTCGGCTACAGAATGAAAAAGCCTGTGGTAGTTTGAATGAGAACGACCTCCATAGACTCATGTCTTAACTGTTTTGGAAGGATTAGGAGGTGTAGCCTTGTGAGAGGTTACGTGTCACTGTGGGCGGGCTTGAGGTATCAGAAGGCTGGAGACATTCTCTGTGCTTTCTGCTTGCTCCTTGTGGTTTGAAATGTGAGCTCTCAGCTACTCCTGACGACGTGCTTCTGCTTTGCCATCATAGAGTCTAACGCTCTGGAACTGAAAGCCCAATTAAGCTTTTTTTTTTTAAATTTAAAAAATGTATTTGAAAATGTGTATGCATGTATTTTTGTGTGTGGGCGTATGCACCAGAGTGCAGTTGCATGGTGAGGCCAGAAGAGGGCATCAGATCACTGGAGCTGGAGTTACAGGTAGCTGCGAGCCACCTGCCTGCCAGTGTTGGTCCTCTGTGTGAGCAGTAAGTGTTATTAACGGTTGAACCATTTGTCCAGACCCTCCAGAGGGGATTAGAGAAAGAGCCATCTTGCATGTCTTGAATGGAATAAAAGGAAGAAGGACGTCCACTTATGCAGAATTCTCTCAGCTCCTGGCTTTCATGACGAAGCTCATGTGTCTTACCATGCCCTTCCTCCCAGCTTATGGGCTAAAAAATACAGGCCAAAAGAAAATCTTAAGTTGTTTTTCTCAAGCAGTTTGTCATGGTGACCAAAGTCTGAGTAACACAAATGGAGGCTCAGGGCAGCCCATGATGGCCTTAAACCACTGTGCATTGGCTTCTGAGTGCTGATGGGATTGTAGGCATGCACC